CAAAAATGCGACTGAAAAGATTAAGAAGATGGGCCGGCCAAGTGGCACACTGGTTAAAAGTTGGCTTGGGACGCCAGCTCTGAGCAGCAGGGCCCCAGTTCGTATCCCACATGAGGGCCAATGATGCTGCGCCCTCTACAGCTAAGATGGTGAACAACAGCTCGACCTGGAGCTGAGCTGCCATGAGTCCCCAGCGATGGCATAGGCTGCAGTGGGCTGGCCAGCAGCTGGCTTGAGCTTTCATGAGCTGCCGTGAGCGGCCATCCAATGGCTGGCAAGCGATTGCCTCAGCGTATATCAGAGGTATTCTCAGCTCAGAGAATACCAACATGGGCCAGTGAAGCGATGTCCTCCACAACTAGACTGAAGAACAAAAGGACAGCAACTTGTCTGTTCCCCTTCCCCAATTCCCCAATGCTGTTCCCCTCCCCACAATTCCCCAATAAAATCTTAAAAAAAAAACAAGACCTATCTAAATGCTACCTTTTCATATAATTTTATCAATTATTGATAAGGCAGTATAAGGCAAGATCTCTGGATCTACAATGCCAGCTATACCACTGATTGGCTACATAATTTTGAGCAAGTTATTTAACCACTTTGCCAGTGTCTTCATCTGTAAAATGAGGTTTCCTGGTAGCTATTGAACTGAGTTCATGATTTAAAGCACTTAATGCCTGGCACATAGCATTTAGCCAGCTGTTATTATCATCATCATCATCATCATCATCTCCTTTTTCTTTTATAGGTAAACATACTAAAGCACTAAAATCAGTTAAAACATGCTGGGAAAAGGTAGTGGGGAGAAGGAGGAGGGAGAGATAAGAGAGGTAGAGGAGGGAGACAGACCGCCAGAGACAGACACGTTAAACACAGCTAAAACCCTGGGTCTCCTTTCCTAAATTGTTATTCTTTTGAAAAGACAAATGGAAGTTATCCAGCATAATGCTCAATAACTATTTCCTTCTTCTCTTCCTTTCTTTCTCAGCCTATACAGAAGAATACTTGGTTTATATTCATTCACATCCCTAAACCTCTCCTACAGACTTCCATTTTAAAGTTAACTATATTTGTTTTAAGTCTGTTCCAACCAAGTAGCCTTACATTAGGAAATTATACCATGGTCTTTTCCAAGTCAAATGTTTCTGTGGGATTCGATCAGCCAGAAGAGACTTGTAATTTAAAAGTGCTAGAAACACAAAGAACACTCAACCCACCTTTTGAATGACTGTTAAGAACTCACTCTGATCCTAAATTTTCCTGAATTTTGTATTTGTAAAATGTCAGGAGAGGAAAAACCTTAATTGTGTTCCAATTCTACCCAGGACGATAATTAAGCCAGTAACCTGAAGTTGGTGATTTTGCCATTTTAGCATAAAAGGTGAGTAAGCTCTGTTACTAGATCCCATCTAACTTCAAAATTCTACAGCCTCTTGGGCAAACCTGAAAATGGACAATTCAGAGGCAATTTCATGCCTCCATGCAGTTTCCTCTCTCTGAAATCTCCTGTTTCTCCTTCCCCTTTTAGAGAATTCTTGTTATACCTTCCATTAAATATCCATCGCGTCTTTCATAAAAGCTTTCCTCTGACCCAAACAGAACAAACTGCTCCATATCCTTTGGACCCCCATGACTGTATCGCATCTATTACAGATGACCATAAACTGTCTACCATCTCTGTAGTCCCTCATCTTGTACAATGCCTAGCACACAGCAGGTGCTGAGAACGTGTTTAGATTTGAGTCTACAAAGTTAAATTAGGTTCCTGTGAAATTCCCTTATGCACCATCTGGGAGTTTAGCTTAACTTGAGGAACACACAGGCCAATATGCAGCACAACCAAAGTTTTGTCCCAGTCAGATCCACATATGCAGTGCAAATTTATTCTGAGCATTTGCACAAAAGCTACACAAAGTTATCACTGCTGCAGATGATCTGGACACCCTCTGGGAATTACCTCATCTACCTCACCTCCTTATCCAAAAACCTCTTTACTTTACTCTACTTTGTTCCATGGCATTTTATGACCTGCCATAATATTGGATCATCAGGAAAGTCATGACGCATTTTTACATTGAAAAACATAGAAAAATATGTGATGACTTTCCCGACGACTCAATACATAATTTACTGATGTTTGGTGTTTATGGTCACTTACCAGAATATATGCACCACTAATGCAAGAATTTTTATCCATTTTGTTCACAAATGATATCCAGTGCCTACGTCAGTTCCTGGCACAATGAATGATGTTTTTTTAGCCAAAATTCTTTCCTTCTGTCATAAAGCCCCCAAGAGTTATGAGTCATCACCTTTATAACCCTATCGCACATTGTTCTTATTTCCTCAGTTCCATCCATTTATAGTAGCCTTACAAGTAAGCGTCCAAGAACTGAAGGGACATATTTGTTATTTAACTCCAAAATTGCAACTCTTATTTTTTTCTGCTCATCTGTGGATACAGAAATAATATTCAGGAAACTATACCAAATAACCAAAATCTTGTTCTTTCACTTATTATTTTATTTCTATGAGGCCGTCACTTCAGATTTTAAACTATTAGTGCAAAAAAAACCCCAAAATCTAAAATGTTGGGCCGGCCGAGGTGGCGCATTGGTTAAGAGCTGGCTTGGGACGCCAGAGGGCCCCGGTTCGGATCCCACATATGAGGGCCAGTGACACTGTCCTCTACAGCTAAGATGCTGAACAACAGCTCAACCTGGAGCTGGGCTGCCATGAGTCGTTGGCGACAGCATAGGCTGCAGCCACTGCTGCAGTGGGCTACTGTGTGTAGCCAGTAGCCGCCGTGAGCCGTCCAGAAGCCGGCGACTGATCTTCCTCACCCGGGAAGAGCACAATGATAGTGCCAACTTGGGCCAGTGAAGCAACGTCCTCCATAACTAGACTGAAAAACAGAAGGACAGCAACTTGTCTGTTCTCCTTCCCCCAATTCCCCAGCGCTGTTCCCATCCCCTAATTCCCCAATAAAAATCTTTTAAAAATAAAAATAAAAAATGTTGGATTAACTTTTTGGATGAGGCTAAATATGTTGAGTATATACTAACTGCTACATGTGACCTGATTGAAAAATTGTACCCCAAATAGTACAAACCCTCTAATGTGCTATACACGAGTACATTAGTTATGTTAAGATTTTTGTTAGCTAAATATGCTTCAGGAGATGAATTTATCCATTGCATTTCTGTAATTATTAAAATTGAGCCATTAAAAATAGAATACTCTTGTATTTGCATTCAGAAAATACCACCCAAACTTTGTCCATCCCCTAGTTTCAGCCAAATATGGTTTTTCCCTGCTTCAACCAATTTAGCGGAGTTCCAAAAGACATAAGCCCATCAACAGTAGTTACAGACATCATCTACATTGCTATTTCGAAGACAGCTTTTAAGTTCTTGAAGAATTCAAACATCAGCAATGTAAAATATACTCAAGGTGGGAAGCTTCAAGCTGAGATGTCTGGATATGTTGATTCAAACTAAAATAGGAAACAAAGACTTTCATAAGGTCACCCAAGTCTCTCATCTATCACCCCGTATCTGACAAACTCAGAATTAACTTCCAGGATGAGCTTAAAAAAGAGGTTTCACAAGTTCAAATGTGTTAGGCAGGATGACAAAAGCCAGGCCCGCCTGTCTCCCTATGCGTATCATTGGGTTGTTGGAAAAGTCATGACATATTTTTTCTGTTTTTCGTTGCAAAACTGCGTCATGACTTTTCCAACAACCCAATAGAAATATTAACAAATCTACCTGCCGGGTTAGCCTTCTGTGGTTAGCCTTCTGTGATCGCTTAGTTTTGCTTAAACACCCTAAAAAGAATGACTATTCTACATGAGCATGTGAAAATAAGGGTTCAATTCTCAGGACTCAGGTGCCAACGTGATGACTAAACATTATGGGAGGTGGGGAAGGAAGAGACTCAGAACAGAAAACAATCTTTAAATGCTATTTTCTCCACAACAGTAAAGGAGTGTATGGGGTGGGTTTTCCATCTCCGTGTTTTTATTAGTTTTTTAAACCACAGATTAAGCATAGGTGAATCACAATAAAGCTTTCAAAAGACGAATTCCCCAGGGTGTAAGGTCCTGTTTTCAGAGGACCTTACTGCTGCCTTTATACCCCAATCTGGCGATCCCATCTTTCTGCCCATAACCCCCACCCCCCCCCACCCTCGCCAACACGTCTGTAAAAAATGATAAGTGAAATAACAAACAGCACTAAATGTGACGTCAAGTTGGCATTTACCAATGATTTGCAAAAACAACTTCCCAGTAGCCCTAATCAAGCCAGGGCAAGCGACCCAGACCCTATTTGGTGGTTGTCTGAAAAGATAAAGCCCATATTCTTCAGGGAAGCATGCCACAGGGAAGCAAGGAGCTGCTCTAGACCCCAAGACCCCAGGCTGTCACCAAGGGATCCTGACCCGAAAACAGCCACGTTAAGTGTGTTATAGTCACAGGACTTGTCACCCCAACTGCCTACTCCTAAAACCTAAGAGGGGACGATAAAAGGGTCCTGGGAGTGACGCGGGGGGGGGGAAGCACAGCGCTCTTCTTCCGTGCTTGGGACCCCAAAAAAAGCAATGGGCAGGCGAGACACAGAAAGGCGACCGAGTACGCGTCCGGATATGGGTCATGCCGGAGAGTGGGAGGTATCCACGCAAGCGTGCAAACAAACAAACCCAAGAGAAGAGCGAAGGGAGAGGTTGGGGTGATGGAGAAATGTGGACGCGGGCACCGGGGTTTGTCGGGACTTGGGGTCCGGAGAAAAAGAGCCTCCTTGGGTGCTGGAGGGCTCCACACGTGCTCGAAGCGGGCCGGGGAGGCGGCGGCGGTCGGGTAGCGCAAGCGCTCGGGGCAGGTTCCCGGACACCCCCCCGGCTGGACGCCCGACCCGGGCAGCGCGGGGCAAGGCGGGCGGGGGCCCGCGGCCCAGGTCGCCTGAACAAAGCCGGCGCGCGCGGGGCCTGGCTACTCACAACAAGAAGCTCATGTCGGCCGCGGCGTGGGCTGCGGGCTCGGCGGTCGCGAGGCCTTGGCGGGGACGGCGGCGGAGGTGGCGGCGGCCAGGAAAAGAAGAGGAAAAGAGAAAGGAGAGGAGGAGGAGGAGGGGGGCGCCGGCTAGTCGGCCGCAGCAACTTGTTCGGCTTCGCTACTTCCAGCGGCAGGCAGAGGGGGCGGAAGTGGGAAGCGCGCGGCCTGAATCACTCAATTGGGAGGAGAAGGAAAAGGAGGCGGGGAAAATGCCGCTCGCCCGAGCTGGGAGAACAGCCGCGCCGCGGCCGCGGTGCTGCAACCCTCGCCGCCTCCTCTTCAGGCCCCTGGGCCTCCACCACGCGAACTCTCGCGAGAGCGAAGCGCACCCACTCCGCCCCTCCGGCTGCGGCCCCCGGGTCCCTCACGTTCTGGACACCTTTGCAGCCCCGGACTACACCCCGCGAGTCCGCTGGGGCCACCAGGCCCATCGAGGCCTGTCCACCGGGTTGGTGGGTTGTGGCAGAGCCCGCCGAGTTGCTTCTCAGCGATCGGGAAAGAAGTGGGCTTCAGCTCCGGGATGTCAGGGCTCTGCGGTGAGGCATGGAATTGCCACAGGAATTCTGCCCACTGTCAGTCAGTGCCGGGCAAAGCATGATGAAAGGTTAGGGAGTCTCTCTGCTAGCACTTAAAAACAGGAGGGACTTTCATGTGGTTGGAATGGTCTGGATGTGTTTCTGCCAGCAGAGAGGAAAGGATTTAAATGGGTTTTCAAGGTCCCTGTCATTTTGTGGGCATATTTTAAAATCCTGAACTAGGAGACGGACAGGGTCCACCACTGTCTGAGCAGGCAAGTTAGACTGTCATCAACAGCTGGGAAGAGTGCAGTGGTGACATATTCAAGGTATGTGGAGCATTATTAAATAGATTATAAAGCCTTGCCCTGGGCCCTTTAACTATGTGAAATGCAGGTTCCTCTATAAGGGGGAACTGATGTTTCTAGATTCTAGAATGGTTTGTGCATCAGAGTGCCTAGTGGTTTTTAATAGATTTGGGCCCCATGAATGGGCTTAATCAGTGTTGCCACTGATGACCAGCCTACCACAGCATTATCAATTTGGTTACCCATTTATTTTACATAAGAGATGTTCATCTTCTCTACTCACAACACCCATCAAATCCACAAGCTTTTCAAAGAATCTGAACTTACATTATGTATAGCTATTAACCCACCTTGGGCTAACAGACTTGAAGGAGATGCCAATATGAAATGTATTCTATTGAGTTTATTCACTATTAATTTGACATATTGGTATATCAAACCATTTTTAAAAACAAGAAAATATTAAAATCTTGAAGCTATCATAGGAACAGCAGAGGTCACTAGAATAATTTGAGAAGACTTAAAGGCTCAAAAGATGCTGGAAAGGAGTCAAAAGGAGGATTTATCTTAATATAATGAAAATAATGGGTTTATAACATAAAAGCCCTGTGTTCCAGATCTTGAAATGGTATTGACTTACTATGTAATTCTTTATAGGTCTTCTTAAAAGAAAAAGTTGAATTACCAGCTTAGGAAATTATGTTTGGGAAGACTATGTCAGTTAACCTATTAAAGCAGCAGTTTCACTCTCTTTACAGTGAGGGCCTTTGATTATTACATGACCTTTAAGATATCTTCCAGTTCTAAAATTCTGTCAATCCTAGGGCATTCTTTAGGTGACTGGCAGACAGCTCCTATCAGCTCCCTATTTGGTAAGCTGGCTTATGTAGCCTTGCTTTTGGTCTAACACAATTTAGATGAATCCTGTGACACTAAATCAGGACAATTGGCAGAGGAGAGAATCTGCAAAAATACCTGATGAGTTCTTTATCATACCACCAGGAGTGTGGTATGATAAATTTATTGGTCCTAAAAATGACAGAGGTGTCATGTTAATAATACAGAATATTATTCCAGAGGTTAGTCATTTAAATCAAACAATGACTGTCACTTAAAATTATTCAGCACTTCAAAAACATTGTGAAATCTATAGAATTAGAGCGAGAGTATGTTCAAATAGACACTTCTAATTGCAATTTCTCCTTCATCTATTATATTTCATACCACTCCATTCCTAAAATTTCAATTTCAAAAAGTTACTCTCCTGATCAAAATCTTATTTTGCTTATAGATCTTTATGAAGCAAGATTCTTAAAATTTGCATTCTATCCACCAATTTTTCATAGTATTGGCATTATAACATGAATAGAATAGAATGTGAGTGGGTATGCTCTCAAATATCTTTAAATATTCATTTGAATTACTTTCTTCTTGTCATGACAAATAAGTATATTTATATAAATATAAGCAAACAAGATAATTATAAATTATCTTGTGGTAAGATATGAAATAAACAGGATACTGTGATAGAGCGTAATGGTGAAGGAAGAGGATCTAATTTAGATTGAGTGGTTAAGAAAGGCCTCTCTAAGGAGGTGATATTTTTGCTGAGACCTGAGAGCCAGCCTTGCAAGTGCTAAGAGATGAGCGTTTTCTGGCAGACAGAATAGCAAGTATAAATATTCTAAGATAAGAAAGAGCTTGAAGTGCTCTTAGAAGTGACAGGTGATGGCCTGGGCAGGGTGAGCATCTCACAAGAAGAGTGGCATCAGATGAGGTTGGACATGTAGACAGGGCTGTCTGGGGCTCACAGGCCTAAGCAAGACATTTGGATTTTATTCTAAAAACATTGAAAAGTCAGCAGAGAAGTAAAGTAATAAAAGGATAATATAAAATAATCTGAATTACATTTTATTTCTTATTAATTTGGAAAACTTCAAACATATACAAAGGGGAAGAAATTAGTATAATGAATCCATCACACAGCTTCAACAAATATCAGCTCACGATCCCTGATTAACATTTTAGAAAGATCACTCTCCCTTCTTGTGGAGAATGGACCAGAGGGGCCGACATGTGAGAAGCCAGAAGAGTATTGTAATAGTCCAGTTGTTTCTCAACAGTTGTGATTTGGTTTAGGGTAGTGTCATTAATAATAGGAAAAAGAAATTAATAATCTCAAGGTAAAACCAACAGCACTTGGTGATTAATTGATTGTGGGGGTTGGGGAAAGAAAGGAGTCAAAGATTACTCTGGGGTTTTTTTTGTTTCTTTGTTTGTTTTGCTTTAGCAACTGGTGGATGGTGCTGCCATTTAATGAAATAGGGAAGACCTGAGTCACTATTTGGGGGTAAAACTAGAAGTTCCATTTTAGATATGTTAGCTTTGAGATGTTTTTTAGACATCAAAGTAGTGATGTCAGGTAGAATTTTGACTACTGTGCAAAGCCTGGGGAGAGATCTGAACAACATGTATGAGTGCAAGAGTCCTCGGTAAGTAAATAGTATTTGAAGCCATAAGATAGGCTGCCAAATAGGAACTTTCATACCAGATAAGAATAGACTTAGCAAAGTGTTACCTTTAAGCATCTGTGTTTCTTCTTTCTTTACTTCTCTTCCCAGATATCTCAGGTTTCTGATCACCATTTACCTACTCTCCCTCAGTTGTATTTATATTCTCCTTTTCCCTCAAGGTGAGGGTTTCTACAACCTCAAAGAAAATGATTCATCGTACCTTTTTATCAGATAAATTAATTACTTCCAATGTGTTAATATGTTCCCCTCCCAGATAAAATAACACCAGTTAAAGCCAAGTTTCAAAATAATAATTGAGGGAAATTTTTTCCTTGTAGAAGGATTTTGGTTTAAAAAAATGAAATAGGAATGATTGAATTATTATTAGAATATCATTTTTGCAACCCCTAATAGATTAATGAGTCTGGGCATTGATCACCAGTGGCTGGTAGTATCACAACAAGAGAGATAACCACACTTTATGTGTGCCCTGATGGAGGAACATATCATCACCTGTGAAGAAGTCTTGTCAACAAAATAGAACCTGAATCTGATCAAGCCTCTAGGTCAAACTTACCAAATTATAGGAAATACAGAGAACAGAAGAATATGATAAAGAACATGTTAAATGACACCACAGGGATGCAATCAGCAAAATCTAAACTGGGGGGAAACTATGCAGGACCCAATTTCTTCAACAAATGAATTTCAAGGGGAAAATAGAACTGAAGGAGAAACCAGAGGTTGAAAGTAACATAAGAGACGTTATTAACCAATTGTAATGTGTGGATGTATTTGCATCCTGACTCAAACAAGCAATCTGAGAAAGAATAATAACAAATGTTCATGTCATTCATAGACAACTGAAAAATTTGAACATTGGATATTTGATGATACTACAGACTGATTATTAATTGTGGTAATGATGTTGTGGATGTGTTTTTTTTTAACCCTTATGTTTTAGAAATATGAACTGAAATATTTACAGACAAAATAATATGCCAGAGATTGACTTCAGATTCATGTAGAAGGGGGAAGTCAGAGTACAGATAAAACGAGATTGGCCATGAGCTGATAACTGTTGAAGCCAGGTGACAAGTGCATGAGGGTCATTATACTGTGCTATAGCTACGTTAGTTTTGAAATTTTCCATAATGAAAAGGAAAACCAATAGCAGGTCTCCTTTTGAAAAGGCCTAGAACAAGTGTCATTAAGGATGGGGATTTAAAATTTGCTGATACAGAAGATGATTTTTTTTGGACTAGAGACTTCTTCCCTTCCCGTCACATTTGCCAGCTTTTTCTGCCTATATGTAAAGATGTTCTTGTACCTATAAAACTAAAAGCAAGTGCTATTAATGCCAGAGAGAAGAAATGCTGAATTCAAACCCCGTGACTAAATCTGGGCCTCAGTACTTCTTAAGTAGCTGTTCTCTTCTGATTCAGAAATATAATGACTCTGAAAGGATAGGTACCTGAACAATAATAAATACTAGAAAAAGTATACCTGGGCAACAAATCCTTAGTAACCTGATAAAATGCAGGAGTGTTCTGGTTACATAATATCTAGATTGATGTTATTATTCCATCAAATTAGTTTATTATATAAGATTGTTTTTATAGCTACCATTTATCGAATATTTCTGATGGGCCAATCACTCTACTAAGCTTTTCATATATTTTATCTCTGTTACATTTATCACTTACACTGCCCCATGAGGTTGATATTAGGTGTTATTTTTCCCTTTTTATAGATAAGGAAACTAATGCTGAAAGGTTATGTATTTAATTTGCTCAAGATCACATAGCTAGTTAATACAATCTGAATTCAGTAACGTCTATGTCCTTTCCTCCTTTCCCAGGATGAAGTAAGTTAGGATGAATATATTCTAAATGAATTTTGGCATATGACACAATCCCACTTAACACAGCTAGCAACTCAACCTGACCCTTATCAATGCTCTTTAGATTTTAATTTTGTATCTTGCTTCATTAAAGACAAACCAATGTATGGTTATAAATACTTCTTAAGGCCACATTATTTTGACATAATAGAAAAGAATGGAAGTATAAAAGTTTGGTTCATGAAGCTTGGTGTCTCTGAATGCATTTATCACTAAAAGTCATAAAGCATCAAAACACAAAGCTTCTTATTTAACGCGTTAACAAGGGAAGAAGGACTCTTCCGCTGATCCCAAACCTAACCCGATACCCTACCCTTCAAGCTGTCCTTTCTTTTGAAGATGAGGTTTGTGCAAAGAATGCTAGATTTAAGGGACTGATGAGGTGCAAATCCTTCATTTACCCATTCAATGAGTATTATCTACTGTGCACCTCTGTGAGCAAAAAACAATATAATCCCCACTACCGTGAATCCTGTAGGTCACTGGGAAATACAGGCAATCAAACAAATCAAAGCAAAATTAGAAATGGTGTCAGTGTCAGAAAGGAAAGGTCTATGCTGTATATCAGTGTGTATTACAGGGACCTCATCTATTTTTGTGGTCAGGGAATTGGATCCTGTGCATTCAGAAGTGAAGAGTATATATTTACTCATGGCATTTAAATTCCTGCTATATTCATAAACAGTATAATTTGATAAAATTTCTACTTCCCTACTCACCACTGCCAACCCACTTTTGGTATTTTGAAGCATCATGATATAGATACTGATTTTTGTTGTTGAGAAACCAGATTTTTAGAACTTTTCAGAAGATGCTGCTTGTAGTATTATTTTGAGGCTTAGTCTATAGGACAAAAATCATAAAATATTTCTTGCATGAACCTTGCACTTGCTCAATAAATGTTGCATTTCTTTATTGAGTTGACCACTGTCTGTAATGAATTGTTTTTCCCACTAAAACCATGGAGCCAGTTTTCCAGTCAGCTGCATGGGGAAAAGGAGGAGGCAGGGTCCTTTTTGAGTCTATTCAAAGCTGCTTTTCCCAAATTGATAGGACGCTGCCAAGGTCGGAAAGCCTAAAATTAACTCCACCAGCTGTGTTTTGGTTTGCTTCATATAGCACAAGGGCTCAGGGGGCTTAATCTGCTAGGCTTGCTTGCTGCTTCAATCTGCTGTGCTCTTAAAAGTTTGTTTGCCTGGAGTGTATGTTGTGCACAAGATGTGGTAACTAAGCAGCTTGAAAGTATATGGGGACTACACAAATAAGTCTCTCCATTAATCTCAAAAAAGCCTAGCAACAATGTGGAGGGTGGGGGTGAGGGACGGAGGAGTCACTACTAAGTGTGTCAGATGAGCGGCTTAACTTTTAACCTTGCTGGTTTCCCAGAGAACAGACTGCTGATGTGTTGTCAAAGACCGAGAAGTGAGAATATAGTTTCAAGGAGTCTGTGTTTTCAGCCTACCCATATCCACGAGGTCCTTTAGCATGAAGGACCATATATAGACAGAGAGAGTAATCCCAACTGGCTGCAACTTAAAAATAGCCTAAGAATCAGCAGCTGTTACTTTCACCCACACAAATTCACAGTTGGCTTAATTAAATAGTGCTTGTTCTCAAGAGCTGCAGACCTTGGATTGTGCCCTAGGTACTTATGCTGCTTCTCCCATCTGTATTCCCTTCCTCACAGTAACTTAAAGCAGAATGGATGAATGAAAGGGGCCAGTTATGAGCGCTTCAGAGATTGCATCAATGTAAATAAAGAAATGTAGAAGTCAGATCTTCCAATATGGTCTTGAATCCCTGCCTATATGACCATGGGACTCCAGGGACCCAAGGCAGTCCATAGTCTTGGCCATTTATTCTCTCTTGCTCATGCCCATTACCACACCCTCTTCTTGGCATCTCTCTCATGTTTTCCATAGTTTCCATAGTCACAACCATAGCAGCCTGAGCAGGCCACAGCCCTCTTATAGCTGGAGACATGAGATACAGCTTTACACGATATAACTCCTCTGTCTTTCACCAACAGGATCTGGTCCCAGAGAGTCGAAACATTTGTTTTTCCTCAAAAGAAATATTCCGGCCCTCCCAAAATATCACTGTCCTTCAGGCCTATACAGCATCAAGGCAACCGGCAAATATCTACAGAAAATACCAAGGTAAACATCTACAGAACATTCTACCTTGAAATTTGACCAAGTACAGTACTTCCAAATCCTTTATTTATAGGCTGCACTCTGTTTCCACTCCAGTCATTCCATTTGAGTACAAGATAAAGGGATTTAGTGAAATAAAACCGTAGTGGGCAGGAAGATTTCCTATCCAAAGTAGAGCTTTGAAAGGGAGTGATCTTGTAATACAGTCCTCATAAGGGACTCTGAGAGCTTCCTGGAGCCCTGCAGGATAAAGGACCACTTGCAAGATTCAGTCAGTCAGTTTATCAGTAACATTTGTTAAAGATCTACCGTAAACCAGTTATCATGCTAAGGGTGAGGAATCAAAAGAAATATACAACATCAAAACCCTCAAGGAGCTCATTTCCAGTGACAGAGACTGACATAAACAGGTAGTCACAGCACAAAATCATTCCTCTTATAATAGGATCATATGCAAAGCGCTATAGGCGCCCAGCTGGTGAAAAGAGTGTCACTTAATTTGAGGAGGGAGATAAGGGGCAAAGAGTTTAAAAAAAAAAAAAGTGAGTCTAAAGGGCTTTTAGACTTTCTCCAGATGAGAAAGTGATGATAGAGGAATAAGAGGCGGAGAGAAGGCATTGCAGAAAGTTGATTAAGGATGTGTAACGCCCAGAGGCATGAAAAAAATACATGTATAGACAAAGGAGATGTCCGCTGCTACAACCATTTATACCTTAATATGAGCTGTCATTCATTCATTCTACAAATATTTATTAAGCACTCACTATATGCTAGTTACTTATATGAGCACTGGGAATATAATCAGGTTCAAAACAGACAAGGTCCCTGACCCCAAGAAGTTTACATTCTAGTAGGGTGGAGATATTCTGAATTTAAGTTAATTCTCTAGTTGTATTTTAATTGTCCCAAATTATGGTGCGAAATCTCAAGTCTTATTAAAGAACTATTTTAAAAGAAGAAAAGTATCAGGAATCAAGTAGGGAAGAAATTCTGGAATCACAGCATAAAGTCAAAAGGTCTTCTGACCACCAGGCAGACCACAGTTCCAATGCTCATTTGAACTCGGCTTCAGTTGTTATCACAGAATCACAAATCCAATCCTATAGGAGGTTCTGTGACTAAAGTACAGCCTTTATCCATAAACTCAATGACTGCATGGCCCAATAGTAGGTCTAAAATTGGAGCAGGTGTATGTGTGTGTATAAAGAAATGAAGATGGACCCACAACTCTGTTCCTAGGAACAAAGCCCTCCCCTTCTCCCCAGCTTTTTTCCTCCCTCTGGCAACCTCCAGGGACCTGTGTCATCTATCAGTGTCATCATCACAGAACTGTTAAGCTTGCAATTTCCATAAATCTTCCCTGGATCATCAACAGACTTCACAGGGGAATGAGGGGGTTGGGGGGGGGGGGTGGCTTCGCAGCCCAGCTCAGAAGGCCAGTTCCTCCCAGGAGGCCTCAGTGCTTAGCTGGACAGAGCTGAAAGCAGCTCTTTGTTCCCTGTGATCCTCTGGAGCCAACTGTGGCTGCCTGTCCTGCCATGGTTCTTAGAGCGCTTGTATAATAATGAAAGCATAAGAGAATCTAAGCCAGTGCTAGAAAGAGACCACAGCATCTTCAGGAAATGAGGGGAGCTAATATTTATTTTCTGCTGTGTCATTTTCTGCCAGTAATCTTCCAAGCCTCTTTATATCTCTTATAATTCTCACCACAACCCCATGAGGCAGATGCTGTCCCAGTTCTATGGATGAGGATATTAAATCACATCTATCATGACACCAGTAGTAAGCAGTGGATCCGGAATTTGAACCCAGGTCTATCTAATTCATGTACAATCAAAACATCCCAGGGCTGTATATTATGGAAAAGTTGGGATTTTATGTGGTACACAAACACAGCATTATATAATATTGAATCACATATTAGGAAAGTGATTCCCTTTTAAATTCACTTTCATTACTTCTGATTATATCAAGGAGAAAGTCTTGGTTTGGTGCTAGTATGTCTTTAACACCTCTCTAACATTTAGCCTCCCTTTTTAAGAGAGAGTACAGGCTTTAGACTCACTTCAGCAGGCAACAATATTTAGCTAGAACTTAATAACATTTTGCTTTTATGGACTTCATTTATATGTTCTTCTACTACATAAGGCCTATGATACTGGTTTGCATTTATGATAGTGATATAACATAGAGCCCATTGGTTAAGCTCCGAATCTCTAGCATCACGCTATCCAGGTTTAGCCACTTACTTGCTGTATATGACCTTGGATGAATTAACATTCAGTTTCCTCACTTGTATAATAGGTTTAATGGTAGTATCTACCACATAAGAATGACGTCTTGCATGTCAAACGCTTAGAACAGTATTTAAAATATACTGCTGCTCAATAAATGTTAGTTATTTGAAGTTTCAAAGACAATGGGCTGATTTAAATCAGGGTTTCTCATCTTTGGCACTGCTGACATTGTAAGCCAGATAATACTTTGTTGTGGGAGCTTGCGCTATGTATCCTAGGATGTTTACCAGTATCCCTGCCCTCAATCCACTAGATGCCAGTAGCACCCAGGTATGACAAACGAAAATGTCTCCAGACATTGTCAAATGTCCTTCTGGGGAAAAATCACCCCTGGTTGAGAATCCCTGATTTAAAGGCAAACATTAGGTAAGAAAAAACATACTTAGATGTGACAAACATCTAAGCATGTTCTGGGGAAAAACTGAAGTTTGGGCTATTTGAAATGCTCTAAGACAATGCTACTTGAAATTTAACTCTAAAAGTCAGAAATTACTATTTTTATTTGCAGGTTTACAACTATGCTCTAAGTTCTCTATCAAAGCTAAGAGTATTCAAACAACTTAGAAGGGGCTGAGCTAGTAAGTACATGAAACTCATCTTTATTTTTCTTTGACCATTTTTTCTCCTGCCTTCTCTTCCAATCAGCTAGCTACTTGACACCCTCCTCTGCACATACACCCATGAAATGACTGGGTAACATTCTTTGTCCAGACTTCTCAGATCCCTCCCTCCCCAATCAGGGGTGTTCCTCTCGCCCCTCAAGGCCCTATTCCCTGCCTTTTGAATGCATGTGAAAAGGTAATTGATGCTATTATCGGGTAGTATGTTTTCAGTTACAGACAGCAGACAACCACATTCTTAACTGGTTGAAACACTGAGGAAATTGAATGGTTCACAGAAAGGAAGTTCGGAGATTGGGAAGGTGTCAGGTTGGTGTTAGTTCAGTGGCTCCACCTCCCTTTCTCTACAGTTTCCTTGGCTCTGCCTCTCTGTGTGCCAGCTTCATCCTCCGCTTGGTGGTGAATTGGCTACAGCAGTCTGGGACGTCACATTCACACCCAAACATGTTCAGAGGACACTGAAAGAAATTTGTGTCTGTAAACTGTCCAGTGCCTTTAAAAAAAGTTCAGCCACAGATTATTCAACCTTGTAAATTATTTGCTTTAATGATTAGATACCTGAAAAACTATCTCTGAAGTTCATTAGTTTACTGGGTTGTTGATAGATTAAATAATATTAGTGACAGGACTTTGTAAACTGATATGTAATTGTAAGCTATCTTTTCTTGGGAGGCTCTTCTTTTTATAGAGTAATATATCTACTCAACTAGATCATTCATAGTAGAGATGATTATACAAACACTCACAGAACAACAATGGGGAATGAATGTCAAAGAAACCCCAAAGCTGGTGACTGAATAGGGCCAAACAGGCCTCAAGGAGACCTGGTGAGTGATTCTAGACTCAGGGCAGCTCTGGAATACTCAGCAGCAGAATTCATGAACCTTAGTATGCTCTGCATTGATATGGCCTGGCAATAATAAATATTTCTACTTTCTTCTGTCCTGCCCCCAACTGGCAAATAATTTCTGCATTTGTAATTCAAATTGCCAGCATGGGGAGGCTGACTGACTTAGCCAATAACTCATCAATTATTGGACTAAACCTTTTACCCATGCCACATCAGAGGCCATTGGCCAGCTTGTGGAGAGAATGCTCTTAATCTCCATGATTAATAATGTCTTTCAAAGCCTAAATGAATGCCATTTCACACTACACAATGTGTTCTTGCACAAATCAAGAAGCTGATTTAAATAAATCGAAAGATACCACTATTGTATGAAAACATTAGTGCTTCCTAATTAAACTATAAATTTAATACAATTCTCTGCCCAATAAAAATACCATAAGATGGAAATTTCAAAAAAAGACAGGCTTTTCAGAAAAGCTGAAATTTACAACTTTAGCCAGGAAAATTTTAAAAAATAAGCATAATGACGGGAATAGCCTACCAGATATTAAAACATTATAGAGGCGGCCAAGTGGAGCATTGGTTAAGAGCTGGCTTGGGACGCCAGCTCTGAGCAGCACGGCCCCGGTTCGGATCCCACATGAGGGCCAGTGACACTGCCCTCTACAGCTAAGATGGTGAACAACAGCTTGACCTGGAGCTGGGCTGCTGTGAATCGCCGGCGATGGCGTAGGCTGCAGCCCCTGCTGCAGTGGGCTGCCATAAGCTACTGTGTGTGGCTGGCAGTCAGCGTGAGCAGCCGGCAGCCAGTGTGAGCTGCCAAGAGCTGCTGTGAGCAGCCATCCAGGGGTCGGCGACCGATCTGCCTCACTCGGGAAGAGCGCAATGAATAACACCAACTTGGGCCAGTGAAGCGACGTCCTCCACAACTAGACTGAAGAACAAAAGGACAGCAACTTTCCTGTTCCCCTTCCCCCAATTCCCCAATTCCCTAATAAAAAAATTAAAATATATATATATATATATATATATATATATATATATATATATTTATATATAGTTACGATGTTTAAAAGCTTGAAAAGAAAGCTAGATCAATGGAAGAGAATGGAAAAAACAGATATAGACAAAAATATAAAGAAATTAATGCAAGAAAAATAGATTATTCAGCAAATGGTGATGGGACAATTGGATAGCCACCTGAAAAATCTTGAATCTCTAGCTTAATTTCTTATAGCAAATTAAATGACAAATGGATCAAAAAAAATTGAATCTAGACAAACATTGAAGAATTTTTTTATAATATCATCAGGGAGAAAGCCTTTCCAAACTTGACATCACTCCAGAATCCAAACCACACAAATATTCACAGCAGATATTGATAAATTTGTTTGATAAATGAAAAATGCTGCCAATAATGAAAAATATTACTAAAAAGATTTAATAATTGACAAATTGAAGGAAATATTTAGAACAGATAGAGTGTTTATTTCTTTGCTTTATAAACAGGTCTTGTAATTTAGTAAGACCACAGCACAAATTTATAAAATAGGGAAAAATGTACATAAACAGACTATTCTGCAGCTGTTAAATAAATGAGGCAGGTCTGTATGAAATGATTTTAAATTATCTTTAGCTATATTAGAGAAAAAAAGCAGATACAAAAAAATAACATAGTCTATCATTTGTTAAAAAAATGTAAGAGGAGGGAGGGAAAGACTCAGTTATTAATTTTCTGTTATTGCTATAACAAATTACCACAAATTTAGTGAATTAAAACACATAAATTTATTATCTCACAATTATGGAGGTCAGAAGTCCAAAATGAGTTTCCCTGGGCTGCGTTTGGTTTGAGGCTGTAGGGGCAATGCATTTCCTGGCCTTTCCCGGCTTCTACAGCTTGTTCACCATCCTTGGCGCGTGACCCTGTATCACTCCAACCTTTGCTTCTCCTGTTACATCTCATTCTCTGCCTCTTCTACCTCTCTATTCCACCTTTGACGGACCCTTGTGACCCACCCAGATTATCCGGGATAATCTCTCTCTGTATTTCAAAATCCTTAATAACATCTGCAAAATTCTTTCTGCCATATAAAGTGACAACACAGTGTCAAAGAAAAACCAGAGCTGTGTTAAAGTAAAATCAGATTTTACTCAGGACTATTATAACGGGGAAGGGGAGAGCGAGGGGAAAAGACCTCAGCATAGAACTGAGCTCAATTCAGAATACAACATGGACAAGTGGGGATTTATAGCCAAGGAGCAGGGTGGAGAACAGCAGGTGGAAAATTACTAAAAAGAAAGAAACATTAAGTGTAAAAGGGGATTTCTGGCTAAACTGACTTGACAAGATTCTTGCCAAAGGCAGGCCACGCTGATCAGATATCACCTGGGGAATAGTAGGTGAAAGGAATTTGATCAGGTATCAAGAGTGATTACATATCAAGGGCGGGGTTTCTGGCTACACTGACGTGGCAGGATTCTTGCTAACCTGGGCAATGCAAAGACAAACATGGGAGCCCAAGGATCGAGGCCTAGCTGAGAAGATGGCTCAGAGAAACCTGATTAAAATTTGGTCAAGGAGAGAGTCTTTGTCAATAGTCACAGATTCCAGGGATTAGATACGGATATGTGTATGTGTGGGGAGCCATTATTCTGCCCACCACTACAGGCAAATTGATCAGCCATAGAGAAATCAACTGAAAAACTATTATAAGCAATAAAAGAATTTGTTATAGTGGTTAAGTATAAAATTAACATATAAAAAGGAGTATCCCATCCATCTAGTAACCCAAATGATAAAATACATAGAAATATATATGTTCCTGATTATTGTAGGAAAATAGCAAAAATGTTATTAGGGAGGGAAAATAGCAACCTGGGAGAATTATTTTCAGTGTGTCCCATTTTGCATCATTTAAGTCATTTTGTAACCATCTTTTGTTGAACATGTGAATCTGATCTTGTCATTGCCTATTTAAAATCCTGTATTGGTTTTTTGGTTATGTTGTTGCTGCTGCTTACAAAAACTGAGGTTTTTTTTCGTTTTTTGTGTGTTCTTTTTTCCTGTTATCCACTTCCCTTTTCCTATTTTGGGAGGACCTACTATTGTGTATGGATTTGGGAGGACTCAATACCCTATCTTTTACCATGAAAACTGAAGGGGCAAGAAATTAGATCCTCCTGTCTGGGGCACTGACTCTGGAGGTGGTTACACTGAAGCCAGGGACGCCCAATCTATTCATGGGGAACCTACAGAAGCATCGCACAGGGGTTGAGGTGGCCTCCCAACTAGCCTGTTGTAATTAAAAAACAGCTATTGTACTTTGTATCTTTTGACCTGAAGGAGCTCCTTGGTTTTTTTCTGTTTTCCAAATCTTGTCTTCAGCCTCCTGTTGATTTGGTGAGTCCCACAAACTTTGTAATAATACTTCTTTTCCTTATTTCTTGCAACAAAAAAATCCTGACTCCAAATATCAAAAACCTTAGTAAGTCACACAAGGCCCAACCTTTTTTTTTTTTTCCTGTAGGCTTCTCTCTCCACCACTTCATCCCTGGTACATATTTGGATTTTTCAGTTTCCCAACCATTCCATGCCTTTTTGCCCCTCTATACCCATCTAGAATGCTTTCTTCTCCATATAGAGAGGGAATACCTTCTGAGCTTTTAATACCCACTTAATTCAACTATAATTCTCTGATTCATCCCCTCATAGTACTTTCTTTCCTACTTTCACAGTCTACTATAGCGTTTATGTTTGAACTATTTGAACTATACCGTATCAGACTAAGAAGTCTCAGGGAGGATCAGACCAACAGGGCCTGGTCCAGCACACAGCATATCAAGGCTCCTTAATAAATAGTAGTTGATTAAATGAATGAAACTAGTTAAATGCATTTTTGCTGATTTAAGATTACTATGAGTACCACCATCCTTTTTTGTCCATTTCACTATAGCTCTTGGGTTACAAAAGGGAATAGTTTGATTTGTTCCTTAAAAAATATATTTAATATTTGGCAGCTTAAAAGTAGCTTTCACATATATTTCCTTAGTTGGTTTTTGTTACAACTAAGCTAGGGTACTAGTTGCAGAGAAATTGCGTAAGTTTCCTAAGATTACATGCTTTATAAGTGGTAATAATAAAATAAAAGAAAAACTAATATTTACTTAACATTTACTATTCTAAGCACTGTTTTTTGATTGATTGTTTTACTTGCTGTATCTAATTTGATCCTTTCCACTATGTGGTAAGTTCTATTATTATTTCCATTGTCAATGGGGAAACTGATATCACCAGTTAGTAAGTGGTAAAGCTGATATTTGAACTAGATTCATTGAAATGGAATCACTGTCCCAATAAAAGAATAAATCCTTCAAAAGGGCAATTATTATGTTACACTGGTAATATTATTATAACCACCTACTGGCTCCTAATGTCCACGCTTTATAGCTTCTTACAGCTTTTTTTGGTGCTATTTTCTTGTTAGTGTGCAGGGCCATCTTGCTGCTGCTAATTCACTACTTCTTATCTATGCTGGATACTGGTAAGTAGCTTATTGGTATTATGTCTAAAATTAGGAGGAAATGAATGAATATCCAATAGATTCCATAACATCTTTTATGAGAAAATCTTTTTCTCCATTTACTTCTTGATTTTCCATCATATTCTATTTAATAAGAGTCCCAGAAAAGTGCCTCTTCTCAAATAGCTTTACTTAACTCATGCAATTGACTGAAAGCAAGGTTCTCCAAGTAGTCAATGAGGCATTGGAGTGGGAATAACCTGGAAGCCATAGTCCGTTTCTCAGCACTGGAGCTCATCCACCTGAAGGAGAGAGACGCTGGCCCCCTCGGTGAGCCTACCACAGCATGTCTACACTATAAACTGCTTCAGTAGCATTAAATGGCGGAAATGATGAATGGCTATATCGTGCTAAAGGAGCGGATCTCACAGCTTGAGAAAAGCTGCTGAGTTCTGGATCACTTGTTTGTAATTGCCCTTTTGAAGGGTTTATTCTTTCACTACTGTGAATTTCTTTTCTTTAGTACAACGTTTTTTTATCATTTATTCCTGTATTTGTGTATTATCACAAAAAGGCCCAGAGAGCTGGAATTTGTCTACATCTTTGGCGGTACAAGAAAAGCCTGCTTTTATCATGTGCACTAATCGAGAGAGCACAGTAATTACCTGTGCGTGGGCATCCATGTAGTTTATTTCAGAAGAATGTTTAAGAATCTGATTTCACTTATTCAGTTCATTCCAAGCATATTTACTGAGCACTTACCATGTGCCCAACACTCTAGATATCTAGGTACTAGATATAGCGTAGTGAACAAAATGAATATGGTTCCTATCCCCACTGACATCACATCACTTGGTGTGCAGCCTCATTATATAATCAGCTTTCATTTTTAATTTATAATCCAAGATCATCATAAAATACAGCCTGTAGAATTTTTATAGCAATGTGAAACTTCCCAAATATACTCCCACAAAAAATATGAGGCAAAATACAATCACTGGATTTTGGTGCTGAAATAAATTTTAACATAAGCATTGATTTTGCTCTTCTGCTGTGCCTTAAGTTTCATAAGGTATTAAATGAGTTTCCTATTCCTGCTGTAACAAATTGCCACAAACCTGGTGACGTAAAGGAACACACATTTATTGTTTTATAGTCTGAAGGTCAAAAGTCCAACATGGGTCTCAGCGAACTAAAGTCAGGTGCCATCAGGGCTGTGTTCCTTCCAGAGCCTCTATGGGAGAATCCATTTCCTTGTAAGTTTCAGCTTCTAGAGGCTGCCTGCTTTCCTTGGTTTGTGATTCCGTTTCTCTATTTTCAAAGTAAAATACAACTTTGTTAACTGTGGTGAGATTATGGAAATAATTTTAATTTTTTTCTTTTCAGCATTTTCTGATGGATTGTATTTTCCTTTTATAATATGAAAAGAAAAAAATTATAACAAGAGTCTGTTTAGAAAACAGTTTAAAGCTCTGTGCAGCTGCAGCATAAGTTACTAGAACAGGTCAGTAGGGATTGAGGCTATTCAGATCTGACTGGAACCAAACCAAGATCAATTTTGTAGCCTGGGTAATCTGAACTTGACCTGATCAGCAGTGGTGAACCATGGGGGATTTTTAAGCCGATGATTCCCAATCAGATTTATAACCTAAAAAGAAGCTGTAATGATAGATTTTATTAAAATAAGATAAATTTTACTACTATTTTATAATCCTCCCATTTAGATTCACAAAGTATAATTTAGTTGTCTCTATTGTTAATTTAGCCCATTTCTTCATACCATCAGGGCTGATAATTCAATTTTTAATTCACTTTTCTATACTGTGAAGATAACGCATTTACTTTATCCTCATGGATAATGGCTAGATTGTTGATTTTTTGCCTAAAACGTAAGCACAGATAACAAAAGATGTCTGGTTGGTATTCAAATACTACTATTTCAAGTGAACCACATTTTCTCAACAAACAATGGAAGTGGAGTGGGAACAATTCAGCATACTATTATTTATTAGCCCCAATACACCATCATATGATACACTATCTTCTTAACCTTTGGCCAGGGGGGAAACAGTAATGCTGATTCAGTAGGTTTGATTCTGATGGATAACATAGGGGGAGCAGATTTTCAGAAGCACTGTTGTAGGGATTGGCAGAAGCTGTTGGAGGAGGAGCCTATTGGGTAGAAACTGACTCCTTCCCCACCCCCAGACACATGGACCACAAAGGGAAACTCCTGATTTATCTATTTCATTAGGTTGTGAGATTAATTTGAAAGAAAAGAATTAGGGTTGAAAATCTTGGAACATCCTATACTAGCTCATTTTTTAGGATGGGATTAGAAGCTATGGCTCTATACCCAGCTTATTATGAAATAATGGTAAACTGCTTCTTTAGCTGTGGATTTATGCCTTTAAAGTTTATTTCATTGGCACAACAACTATTTCAAATATTTAGGCACTAAAAAAAATTAATCAAAGTTTCCTTAATAATTATTGCCCTGATTAGCTGGAAAAAATATTGTATCTTAGAAGTGTTTTGTTTCTGCAAAAAGCAGTTTACTGTCATGACTTAGCCCAGCAAACATGAATTATTATAGTTGCTTTAAACAAAATATATGGTTTATACTTGCTGGCTTTAAAAATTACCCAATATACTTTCTTGAATGTAAACAATAAAATACAAGCAAAGCAAAAACTGAATTTATTTCTGTTTTCTGACAAATATAGTCGACTTCTTATCAAATGGTACATTGAAAGGAGAAAAATGGGTTATTTGCTTTTTGGTATATTAATAGAATTATATTCTTTTGCTGAATAGTGTATTTTATAATATCTACTCTAATATTCACTTTTTAAAAAATTGACAAGTAACTGTCAAGCAATAATTGAGTTCTATCTACTTAGGATTAACCCTCCCAAACATAGATCTCAATTTTATTTTCCTAAAACAGCTTTAGTAAGTCAATGAAAAATGAGGACTTAGTATTAAATATGAAACTGTAAGTTCCTATTTAGCTTCATGAAAGAATTACCACCTTGATTTTTTTTTAAGCTGAGCTATCCTGCCACCTGTTGGCAGCTCAGTGGCAGCTCAGCTCAAGCCAGGCATCGAACCGCTGTTGCTCAGAGCTCATACTCTTGAGTGAGCCCTTAACTAACTGAGCCACTCGGCAGACACACCACCTTGATTTTTTAAAAAATGGAATGACATTTCTGCTATTTAATATCAATTGCTTTCACAGAATCACATATTGTATTGATGGATTACATCAACATTACTGCAACTCAAACTCTACCTTTTATTCAGGTTGAGGCAAATGAAACTAAATTTCAAAATAGAAAATTTCACATTTCTAAAATTACTGACTCATACCAGTCAGATGACAAAGAAGAACCAGGCAAGGTCAGGCATTGACATTGAGTAGACATGCATATTTTTCTATTATTTGGTCAGATGAGAGTGATTTTTGTTTTTATTGCCAAAGACTGCTTATAGAGCAGTGGTAAAGAAACAGCCTCAGAGCTAGAGCAGGCATTTTCTCCTGGTTCGGTTCTGTTTTTGCCACACGGTCTTCGGGAAGCCAGTGCTGACTTCCCTGGCTATTACAGTTTCTTTTGAAAAAAAATTATACAAGCACGGGGTTAGTCCATGTTATAAGACTTAACTGGATGTTATTGGTAGAGAAATTTGAGGGAGGCCTGAAGCTCCTTGGACATATTTATTAAGCTTCTTATATATCTCTAGGGATATAAACATGATAAGGCACAATCTCTGTCCTTGTGGATCTTAGATATTATGGGTCTTCTTATATAAACAAAAGGTGCTTATATTTAAAAAAAGCAAAATACCTAATCATTTTATTTCATTCTGAACATATTATGGATATATTAGTTAATTATGGGATACTCTAAGCTTGTTATAACAAAGACAGCTAAAATACAGTGGCTAAAGAAAAAAGTTATTTATATCTCTTTCACCTAATAGTACAGAGGTAGGTGGTTCTGGGTTGCTAAAGAGGCTCTAACATCTTTAACATGTGGTTTTTGTCTCTGGGTCTAAGCTGCCTGCTCTTGTTCCCACCATCGACCTTTTTATCCTAACCAAAAGGACAAGTTGAAAGCATGTTGATTTCTTTAAGGAAAAGATCTAGTAATGGCAGAAAACCACTTTAGCTCACATTCCCTTGGTCAGAACTTAGACAAAAGGTAACAATTATCTGTAATTGTCTAGCTGGTGGCCTAGCAAAAATTCCAGTGTTATTATTAAAGAACCGTCATCAGTTTCTGCTCTGAAAACTTAGGTGTGGTCAAGAGTTGATCAGCGTTATCTTGCAAAGACATTTCTCAAGAACTAAGCCTCCAGACTTTGAGAAAATACACTTCAGGAAAGGATGAAAATCACCTTGAAGCTGAAACCTTGGGTGACCCAATCTCATAAAATGTGATGTTTGATCAGTGATATGCATTTGGGTATTCTTGCTACTTTTTTTAATTTTGGAAAGATACTCTTATGACTAATAAAATTATCTAGGAATTTGCCGTAAGATGATCTGGGCATGGATGGTGAAGGAAGAAATGGACATATGTAAAAAATGAAACAAAATTGATTATGATTTATTAATTGTTGAACTTTTTGCATATGTTTTAACTTTTCCATGTTACAAAATTTTAAAAGTCAATACATAATCATTGCTAATATCTATATAGGGAGCTGCAGATTTTCATACCCTTTTCACAAGTATCATTCTCCTTAGAATTAAGTTTCACAACAACTGTTGTGATCATTATTCTCAATTGACCTTGAAGAATGGAAAATATGGATGAGCTAAGTACTACAAACGTATTTATGAGTTTAAAATGCTTGTTAAAGCAGCAAGTTTAAAAGTGCTTGGAAAACATTTTAAGTTTTACTATTTTCATTACTCTCCTTCTTAAATCCTTTTTAAGAATAAAATTGTGTCATGCAATATCAGAGCCATTTATGCTTTGGGAAGAGAATAAAGAACATAACCCCATGGGGCTGGCAGGATGGCTCAGCTGGTGAGAGTGCCTGCTCTTAACAACAAGGTTGCTGGTTCAACTCCTGCATGGGATGGTGGGCTACGCCCCTCCCCGCAACTAGATTGAAAGCGATGACTGGACTTGGTGCTGAGCTTGCGCCCTCCACAACTAAGACTGAAGGACAACAACTTGACTTAGAGCTGATGGGTCCTGGAAAAACACAATGTTCCCCTTCCCCAATTTCCCAATGAAATCTTTAAAACAAAAGAGAACATAACCCCATGTGTTAGGATGTGGTGTAGTGTGAAGCTTTGGAGTGAGAAATCTGATTTAAGTCCTTGCTCTACTCCACCAGCTGTGGGACTTGGGCCATGTCACTTAATTTCACTGCATCTCGGTTTCCCAATTTAATAAATGGGATTAATATTTAACTGGTAGGGTTATTACAATAAGCAGTAACTACTTTAATAATTATAAATAGATAGAAGTGCTTGCTGTTTCTTTACAGCTGAGGTTCCTAACATAGTGCTTTAAAGAAAAATACTCTTCAGTTTTCCTATTTTCCTTCCTGTTTTGAAAGAATTCTGAAAGTGTCCAAGTCTAAAAAGATGCCTAGACTAATATGAAAAAGAAAAAAGAATTCCATCTGTAAAACATTATCTGTTGGCCAGTAAACTAAGAGTTATTGAGAGCAACCTAACTTCACTTCCAAGGCAAGCTATTTACGTCTTAGAAAAACACAGCCTTATTATTGAATCCAAAAGAGAATGGTCATAGTTATATTTTCATGTCTTTGTATAAATAAAAGACATACAACAGTGTTGATTTGGGGAAAAGAATAATGAAGTGAAAAATACATTCTATAAGAAAAAAATGACCATTTTCATACTCTATAAGCTCCAGGCAGACTGTTAAGGTCCTTGTTCCTTTGAACCCTAAACTGGTTATCGCTTTTCATTCTGATAAAAATATAAATGTGGCAACTAAGCACCTATCAGACATGATTTGAGCAGTAATGAGCCTTTACCTCAGCCCACTGGTATACATTAGTTTCCCCAAAAGGAAACAAAAGACCTCTTCATTTTGTATCATCTAAACTCACTTTCTGCTGAACCATCTGTAAAGCATATAATAATTTGACATTGGTAAAATTATAACCTTGCCACTAGCAGTAGATTTACATAACCAATGAAAGGTGAGAAGATGAGTGTGATATGTTTAGCAAAGTTCTATTCTCTTTCTTTCTTTGTAGTTTTGATAGTAATAGTGTCCTAGAGAGGGAAATGTGGTCCTATGGAAAACTAAATGAATATTACTTCATTACCTCCCTACTGATTTATTACGTAACTTTGGCTGTCACTTTAGTTATCTAGATAATATTACATGTATACAGATATAGATACATATATGTACATATATATATATGAAAATAATAAACCCTTCTTGGTTTTTAAAAATCTTAAATTTGTGATTTGTAATACATGACTGAAAAGCTGGAAAATTATAAAAATTAGAATTTTGTATTTGTTTTTCATCAGTTATTGGGCCTCCTATTTTTTAAAATTAAATTTGACCTTGATTAATATCATTAGCTTAGTCTCACAAAGCCATAGAGAAACATCTTGTAATTTTTTTACTCTCAATTCACTCTCTTTTTTTCAATGCAGAACTATTTTAAAATGAATTAAACTATATCATTCCACTTCTAAGTGCTTCAATATACATCTCTAAAAAATGTTTTCTTATAGAATATGATCACATTTAAAAATTAATAATTCCTAAAATCCAGCCTATTTACAATTTTTCCAATTACCTCCCAAAATGTTTTTAAAGCTGGTATGTCTAAATCATCAGGGCCACATATTGCATCTGGTTATGTCCCTTATGTGTCTTTGCCTTAGTGAGAAAGCAGAGCCTGAAGCAAAATGCTACTACTTTATAAGAGTGCGCAATCCTAGGGCAGCAGGAGTAAGAGAAAAGGGAAATGAGACAGGGAAACTGGGAGGATGAATTTGAGAGTGCCTTACCAACTGACCACCACTTCTGATTGGTAGTGGATGACTGATTGCTTACTCCTCTGGGACCATCTTCTGGGACGCTGAATGAACAAATTTGTTTCAGAAAGTCTGTAGGGGAACAAGGAAGATTTATCTGCCAGTTCTTGTCTCCTATTGGCCAAAGATTTGCTCCATGGGGTACTATCTCCCTTTATTTCTGGGTTACAAATGCATAGGCAGCCCGCAGGCCAAAACATGTCATACCTCGTCATCAGAAAAACACTCTGGGCAGGAGGCAAGAGTTGAGAAGTGCCAGCAAAGGTCAAGTGGTGTAGGGTGGTACAGACATAGGTGCTCACACAGAGTTCTCTATAGCGCACTACAGATGTTGTTCTGGGCCAGAACAGGTCGCCAAAGACCACTTTTAAAGAGTTCAGAAGTGGTGTTTGACACACTTTAAATCTGGAACTGTCCCCACCCTCCCTTTTTTTCCCATGACACTGACTTGCTAAAGTAATCAACTGTCCTATAGAATGCTCCACATTCTGAATTTGTCTGATGACTTTCTCATAAAGTCATTTAGCTTGTTCCTCTACCCCTGTATCTCCTGTATACTGGAAGTTCAATATAAAGGCTTACATAAATTCCAGTTAAACATTTTTCGCTAGAATACAAGTGATGTATTTTTCATCTTGTATCACATTAGCAAACACATTATACCTCATCCTACTAACAGCGATGCTAAAATTGACCACTAGATTAAGAATAATACCTTATAATCTTAATAGTGAACATACAATTTGTTTTAACAAACAATATGAAAATAAACATTTTAAGTAAGATGCAGAGAGGAATTGCAGCTAAAGAAACGCATAGTTTACATTGAAAAGCTAGACTCGGGCCAGCTGAGTGGTTCAGTTGGTTAAGAGCTCACTCAAGAGTTTGAGCTCTGGCAACAGCAGTTCGAGTCCTGGCCCGAGCTGAGCTGCCTCTGAGCTGCCCACAGGTGGCAGGGTGGCTCAGCTAAGAAAAAAAAAGAAAGAAAGAAATGAACAGCTAGACTCACTAACCTTATAGAATTTGAGTGATATTATAGAATCATTGGCTAGTTTGGACATGGTGGGTATGAGATGACAATAATACGATTCATGATAATTTTCTAGGCTTCACTATTATGTTATAAAAGGCCAACTGGAAGCCGCTAGAACTAACTTTACCTATGAATATAGTAAATTAAAATGCACACTGCATTCCTGGAGAGAGAGCAGCAATTAGCACCACCATGAAGGACTTGAAAGATGCAGAGGTGTTGATTCCTACCACATCCCCATTCAAATTGCATGATTTGGCCTGTAGAAAACAGATCTTGGAGAATGACAGTGGATTATTACTAACTTAATTGGATAGTGATTCCAATTGTAGCCATTGTTCCAGATGTGATTTTGTTGCTAGGGCAAAAACTGAGCCCCCTATACAGAACCATTCATTGAGGGGGATCTGTCACCTACCTGGGAGTCAGGTTTATTATGTTGAACCACTTTCTTAATGGGGGGGGGGGTGCAGTACTTTGTTTTCACTGAAATAGACATGCTCTGCCTGTATTTCCTTGCTCTGCACATAAAGTTTCTGCCCAAACCACCATCCATGGATTTATAGACTGGCTTATCCACTGTGACAGTGATCCACATAACATCACTTCTGCCGAAGGAAGTCTGTATAGATATGAATAAGGCAGTGAGACTGTGTTCACAGAACGGACCAGTCTGACCATCCTCATCCTAAAGCCACTGGCTTGAAAGAATGGTGGAATGGCCATTTGAAGATTCATTTATGGCACCAGTTAAGTGGCATATGGCATACCTTATGCAGTTGAAGCAGTGTCCTCCAGGATGCAGTATATGCTTTGATTCAGAGAATAATATAGATGGTGCTTTTCCTCCTATAGCCAGGATTCATGGGTCTGGGAATTAAGAGGGTGAAAATGGGAGTAGCTCCTTTCATTATTATCCCTAGTGATCCACTAGCAAACTTTTGTGTCCAGGTGTAATTAAATAAGTCTTCATAAAAATTATTAAAATTTCTGAATTAATATATTGAGTTTACTAGAATTATTTAGAAAACAAAACAATATAAGACATTCTGCTTCATAGCTGGATTTTTTTCAGAAATTAGAGTACTCTTATAAACCTTGGGAAATTTTTTCAAACTTTGAGCCTTGTCTTCATCTATAAAATTGGTATCCCATATACTCTGGTTTCTCTTCAGATCATATAAATCTTTCAACATTTACTAAAATTGGTATCCCAGCACCAATCCTACCTATATTAAAGAATTGTTAGAAAAATCAAATATGCAAATGAGTTTTGTAAACTGCAAATTGCTCGAGTGCTTTAACTATAATGTGAGAACATTTTTGTCACTGCACCATTATAACAATGCATTTTTACCCCCTTATCCATTTTGTTAAGAAAATTCAGGGGCCGGCCGAGTGGCACGTTGGTTAAGAGCTGGCTTGGGACGCCAGAGGGCCCCGGTTCGGATCCCACATATGAGAGCCAGTGACACTGCCCTCTACAGCTGAGATGCTGAACAACAGCTCAACCTGGAGCTGGGCTGCTGTGAGTCGCTGGCCATGGCGTAGGCTGCAGCCACTGCTGCAGTGGGTTGCCATGGGCTACTGTGTGTAGCCAGCAGCCTCCCTGAGCGGCCATCCAGCAGCCGGCAACTGATCTGCCTCGCCCGGGAAGGGCGCAATGATGGTGCCAACTTGGGCCAGTGAAGCAACGTCCTCCACAACTAGACTGAAGAACAAAGGACAGCAACTTGTCTGTTCCCCTTCCCCCAATTCCCCCGCGCTGTTCCCATCCCCCAATTCCCCAATAAAAATCTTAAAAAAAAAAAAAGAAAATTCAGAGCCAAAACTTGCCACTTACTTTAGAAACCTATTATGAGGCCCAATGACCTAGCATTTGTTACAAATTCATAAAACTCTCATCCTGAGAGACATAGATATTGCAACTGCCAAAAGAAGTTTTAAAGGCAAAGTGTTATGTATCATTCTGTACTCATCAATATAGTTCTGCTCATTGAAAGCCTACTGTTGCTGAAGCAGTCTTATACACTAAAAAAGTCAGTGGCACATTTCACCAGGCACCTAACATGCCATTGACTCTCTCCATAGCCTTCACCTTAGAGAATTTAGAACAAGAGCTGTGTATGAACAAACCAAGATGGCCCTAGGCAGAATAGGGACATTGACTCTGTGTGTTCTTGTGAGATGGGGGTCATGGGTTTTATTTTTTATGTGGCTTCACAGCTAACAGTTCCTAAATTTAGCTGCATTATTTAGCTACACAATTGCCCAGGAATCTAACCCAAACCTATTGAGGCAAAAATAATACAAGGAGGAGCTCTAGAAACAGTTTTTTTAACAAAATCCAGGTACTTCTTACGCAATCAAAATAAGCGTTTCTGTTTGTGGACCACTGAGAACCTCTGGCTCATCTTTCTTTAGTGTTGCTTTTTCTCTTCACTTTTAGTGCTCTTTGCTAGTGGTTCTATACTTCCCAAGGTCCCCAATGTCAGGAGGAAATATATCTGATATGTGATTAACACCCTAGTGTGACTTAGTTTAATGTGTCATTTCTTTAGAAATGCTGAAGATGGTATTTGAGATTCTATGATAGCTTGGGGTGAGGAGGCTGAGGGAGGAGAAGCCTTGCTTCTTGCCCAGCTAGTGACTTTACTCAGGGAATAGCTTCCCTTTATTACCTTCCCATAAAGTCAACCCTACATGTAAATAATGCATCACTTATACAAAGATGAATTTCAGGAAGAGAGTGTGAGTGAAGTCAATGGAAAATCTGGAGAGCACCTGGAATCTTGACCTGCAAGTCCCCACAAAGCTTCCTGGTTTTTGTTTGTGTTTTCTTTTTTAAATTAGAGGAAACGGTTGAGATCTTTCTTAGGGAATAGTGGATTGTTCTCACTGGAGTTATTTAACATGGACTAAATTGGCAGGTATGTTGTAAAGGGAATTTAAACATTGGATTAGAATCTCCCAACAACCTTAACATTTTTTTTCTATTCCCAAAGACTTTATGATCCTTTGACATAGCAAAACAAAAAAATTTTTTGATCTGATATTTCCCCAGATGGTGACAAGTAAGACCAAAGCCTTTACTTTTGATATATGTCTGTTAGCTCCTTCAGTTTGACCTTTACTTGGCAGCCCCTGCCCAGGGCTGCCATGAGGCTGATAGAGGATTCTTTCAGGATCCTAAGATTTCCACAGGAGGTCCAAATAGGTCTTGAAATTGCTCTCATGGTCTAGGCACTCCCCTTTTCTCCTGTGAATTATTGCATTAGCCTTCTAATTACCTCTGGATAACAGGTCTCTTGTCCTCCTCCAAACTATTGCCAGAGTCCAATTTCTAAATGTAAATCTGCTTAATAGCCCTTTGCTTCAATCTCACTTCAATGGGCACCCGATTATCTTCCAGATAAAGTTCTAGTTCCTTATGATGCACATATAAAGCTTTTTAGTAATCTGACTTCTATTAGTGTTTTCAAAGTTCCCATTATGTCAGTATTCCTGCCACAAACCATTTGTAATTTCTTAAATTCTCTAGCTCCTCTTGTGTCCCTGGTGTTTTCTAAAAACTGTTCCCTTTGCTTAGGACAGCATTTCCTTTTTCATTTTGCTAATCTTGACTGATTCCTTCAAGATCCAACTTTGATGTCAACTCTCTTGAAACTGTCTTTGATCCATGAGTGTGAAAGTGTCCCTCTTTTGAAGCCAACAGTATCCTGATATACCTCCTTAGAGCAGTGTGTTGTGTTGCAATTGGAGATTTTCTTATCTTTTTTAGTTACTAGACTGTGAGAGTCTTGAAAGTGGGGACTACTATCATTATATATTTCTCGGTATCTAGTACAAAGAATGCATTAATACATATTTCTGAAAGTAATGACTCTCCGTATAGATGACTCCTAACTCCATGATCTTACTAAAAGCATTAGGTCAGATTCACGGTCAACCTTCAAGATAATTGTTACCATAAAAAATTGTAATGAGTGAAAAAAAACAAAACTAGGGGGATATATCTCAAAGGGTCAGACCACATTGGGGGAGGGGACACTATAGAGGTACAGTCCAGCACACAAATTCTGAATGGAGAAGAGACCTAGAAGCTCACAGAGATATCCATGAAGTTGTAAGAAGTGGCATAGTGTGGGAGTGGAGTTGGGGATGGGGGTAGAAATGCAGTTATTTTCTTGAGGTTTTCTAGGGATAGTTCTTGTGATAGCTTAGATGCCCACTATGCATTGTTCTTACTTGAAGAAAACAACCTAGAAAGCAGGCTCAACAGATTACTTTTAACCTTTTACCCCTTGAAAACTAGTGATTACAGTAGTAAGTGGAATAATTTTGTGTAAATGAAGTACAGGTGATCATAATGGAATTATATACTAGTTGAATCATTTCCAATGCCACCCTACAAATTATATTGTATTTGCTTTAAGGGACCTCAATATAAATTAGGTATCATATGTGTACCTCTAGCAGCCACTGGTGTTATAAATGGAGCCTACAAATGCAGTCAAATTAAAAATACATATGAAGAGGGCCAGCTGGGTGGCTCAGTTGGTTAGAGCGTGAGCTGTGAGCAGCAGGGTCATCAGTTTGATTCCCACATGGGCCAGTGAGCTGCACCCAAGCTGTGCTGCCAATGGGTGGCCGGACTGCTCAGCTGGTGACAGTGAGTGCTCTTAACATCTAGGTTGCCAGTTCGACTCCCACATGGGATGGTGGGCTGCAACCCTCTCCCCCCCACAACTAGATTGAAAGCGGCGACTTGACTTGGAACTGAGCTTGCACCCTCCGCAACTAAGATTGAAGGACAAAAACTTGACTTGGAGCTGATGGATCCTGGAAAAACACAATTTTTCCCTTCTCCAATTTTCCAACATTGTTCCCTTCCTCAATTCCCAAATAAAATCTTTAAAAATACATAACAGATGGCACTAGTTCATTTTTGGAAGTACTAGAGTCATTCGCATCTATGTTATTGTCATGTCATTTGACAGCTTACAGTTCTAGCTTCATTCTAAAACAAAAATTGAGTGATTTGGTTGGGTTTTGGAGATTTTACAACAAGTTGAAGATGGAAGACCAAACTGTGCATTTTTGCCATATTTTACTGTTTTACTTCCATAAAGGGAAGAACGCGTGTTCAAGCTTGTGAAAAGTTGCATGAAGTTTGCGGTGACAATGCTCTACAAGAACGTCAGTGCCAATGATGGTTCACAAAATTCTGTGTGGGTGATTTTGATCTCAATGATGCTCCTCAGTCAGGGAGGCCCACCGAGGTTGATGACAACAAAATAAAGGCATTGATTGAGTCAAAGTCACGTTACATAACATGAGAGATTGCAGAAACACTGAACATCCATCATTCAAGCGTTCACGATCACCTGAAGAAGCTGGGATACGTAAGCAAGCTTGATATTTGGGTTCCGCATGAACTCAAAGAAGTTCATTGGACAGCGCGTATAAACATATGCAATATGCTCATTAAATGTGAGGAAAATGATCCGTTTTTGAAAAGACTGACAACTGATGATGAGAAGTGGATTGTTTACAACAATGTGGTGTGCAAACAGTCTTGGTCCCGACGTGATGATTCGCCTCAAACGACATTGAAAGCAGACATTCATCAGAGGAAGGTTATGCTCTCAGTGTGGTGGGTTTTAAAGGTGTTGTGTTTTTCGTTATATGTCCATTATATTTCAATTAAAAATACTGAGGTGTAGTCAGAGGGGAGAATTAATTAAAATACAACAATAACCATTTCCTTTAAACAATATCTTAGAAAATAATAGTCACCACTGACTAGGTTCTTTCTGTGCCGGATGCTTCACAAATCTATGTGATAGTTAATATTACCTCTATTTTTATAATTTATGAAAACAAAGCTCAAAGAGATTAAGTAATGACCAAAGTCACACAGTCATTGACATAGCCAGGGTTTTATCAGTGTGACTCTGAAGTCTTATGTTTTTCCTAATTAATCTATGTTGTTAACTAGGGAAAAAAAATTTTCTTCCAAATGTCATAGTAGACTTACCTCTTCCTTTCATGCCTACTCCCCCCCCCATATCCTTTGTTTCTTGTGACGCAGGATCTCATTTATCTATTATGCTTCCTTTTCCTTTTGCTCTCAATTTAGGAACACACTGGCTTCAGAATATCCTTTCACAGCAGGTGGAAAACTTGTCAAAATCCAAAGTACAGCGGAATTACCAAATTTAAAAATGAAGCACAGCAGGGACCATTTCTGGAAGGATACACAAGAAACTGGTAAAGGTATCTTTCTTTGGGAACTGGGTGACTTGAGGACAGTGGTTAAAAGCAAACCTTCCTCTATGTGTGCTGTGTATGTGCGTGCGCATGTGTGTATATAGTTTCACATGGCTTGACTTTTTAAAAAAACACTATGTTCATGTATTTTAAAGAGATAGTTATAAATAATGTTGCTTATTAAATAAAGACTTCTTGGTTATTTTGTATCTTGTGTCAGTTTATACTCAGAGCCTTGGTCTCTCCAGTTGCACCCTAGCTTTGGCCCTTCTAGAAAAGCTAGTTGATATGATGTCTCAGTATCTGACTAGTAAAAAACACTACCACCTCATTTTTGTAAATATGGCCAGAGGATGCCATAACTCATCGTTCCACTTTCTAAATATTCTCAATGTGAGCTTTACACAATAGTACCCACACAACACCCACAGGGAATTCAATTTTGTAACTGCCTCATCTATCTGGAGTAAATCAGTTCCTTGTAATAATAGCATTGACATTGTATTTTGAGAACTCCCCCAGGAATATAGTTCACATTTCCAGTCTTGTTCATTTAAAAATATTTGCCACGGGGGAAAATGGGCTCTTAATTTAAAATAATCCTTTTTTTCTTTTATTTAAATTACTATTTGACAGTACATTTCATTTAAATAACTAATCAGCTACTCTTTCCCAGTGACCTATTTTAATTTTAATAAGCTAATTTTCACATGTGAAGAAGCTGCCATATTTAGAGGTTTGTTGGTCTGTCATGTGTCAATCATATGTAGGTACATTTTATTCTTTCACAGAAGGGTTTTCAAAATGCAATCTATGGGAGAGACATAATAAAAATTCGTTAGCATGAACTTGTTAATAGTGAACACAGGCCAACTGATAAAGCTAACACATCACTGCAGCAAGCACAAATCTTTGAGCTTGGGGCTCCAGTGGATCAATTTTTCTTGTCAGATAAGTGAAATCGTGATGGTGGTGATAAAATGCACCTCTTTGTCTTCCTTTGGGAGTAACTAACTGGTAGCTCCAATTGTTGAAGTTCTCTTGTATCTACTCAATGTAATAAACTTCTTCCTTTAATCTTGGATGGTGATTTAGCACCTTTAATCACAGGTTACACAAATGGGCACCATTTCTTTATGGTACTTGACTTCAATTCCTTTTCCTTTTGCCACTCTAGGCTTATTGACATGGTGGTTCATGATTTTTTTGTTTCTTTCAAATGCAAAGAAGGCTTGGGGTGGGACCCTTTGAGATGAACTCAACCTCATTGCATATCAGAAGTAAAGAATATTCACCTTAAAGAATTGAAGGGCACAGACAATAAAATGAGTTCCTTAATTTATTTATTAGTAATCAAAACAATCATTCCCTTCCAGCTCCTCTCCTAGTTCATAATAATGTGCTCTTTGGAGCTAAGAGGGCTTCTTTTGAACATTCTTTCCTAGCAAAGGGGAGGTGATCCTTTTTCTCCTTCATTCTCTTAAACCTCCCCCCAAATGGGGAGTGTTTCCACTAACTGACTCGCTCTACCTCAGAAATTCTTCTCAGAGTAGGCTGACACCCTGTCAGTGCTACTCTGTATGTAATACTGTAATAAATACTAAATAAAAAGGAACACACCAGAACAATATGCTTTATGATTAATTTATTACAGAAAATGTGGAGGAGCTCTTTCCTATTTAAAGCTAATCTCTGTACCTGAGCTTTGATGTCTATCCTCTTTCACCTTTCTAGGAACCCACACTTCAATTATGCCTACTTTCTCCTAGTTACTCAATTAAATCTTTATTAACTTAATCTTTTCCCAGCATCACTTCAACATGTTCCAATATCACCCAACTTAATCCAAACAAAGCAAGAAAGTCAAACACTTTTGACTTATACTTTATTTACTGCCTTATCCCTTTTTCACCTATAAAATCAAACCTATTTTGCACTTCTGTTACCAGCCAACTGAGCAGCACCCCCACCACTGAGAAACTTTTAAGTGTTCTTTCCTATAGAAATGTTAAGTATAGAAATGTTAAGTATAAAAATGTTAAGTATAGAAGTGTTAGTCTCCTCCCTAGTTTCTTAGTCCCTGGCTTTGATTACTCTTCTCATCAGTCTGTGAATTCTAGGCTAAAGATTGCTCCTAGCCTGAATCCTAGAATTCTCCTATCCTCTTGCTTCTTAATTGCTTTGTAAATCAGTTTCTTAATCCTAAACAATAGAAGTCTTCTACCCCTGCTTCAGATAACTACTTGAAAGCCTGTGACTTCCTAATATCCCCCAGGCCAGTAAGCTAAATGCCAAACCCATTCTGGGCCCAGACACCACCTGAATGACAGGCTGAATGGCCACAGGCTTCATGAGAGCTAACAGATTTATTAATTAAAATCTATTTTTCCTCATTCAGGGACCTTGGGGGATATAGATGATACCCCAACAAGATTGCCAGTCACAACCAAGGAAGCCAACACGGTTTTCCAGGCGGATCTCGAGACTTCTTCCTCTCATCTGAGATCAGCTAGGGTGAGAGTTCCGTGAATCTCCCAATAGGCAGTGACAGCTCTACGCCCCTGCCCAGCAGGAAGCAGATACAGAAGAAAAGACCTCCTGACCCTAAGCTTCCCATAGAGATTTTATGGGAATCATGTCTCTCAAGGGGAAAACAAGGCTGGCAGTTAGAGGCAGGCATTGGGTCTCTGCATTTCTGCATGTCCCAGAGTGGGACCGCCCAGGGGACATCCCCTCTACACCCAAAACTCCCCGTTGTATTGTAATTACCTACCACTGTGGGAAAACAAATGGGCACAAAATACCCAACTAGACCAGAACAGTCACTCGCACCTACTCAGTATCTTTTTTCAATCACAGGTCCCAATCAAGTGGTCCCGCGCCCTTAGGGGAACAGCCCATTCTAGAGAAAGGAGATTAAAAACTCCAAGTCCTGGGAAGTCCCGCTCTGCTCTTTTTGAACCCCTTCCTCCCTTTTTTGAGCCTCGCCTTTGGGCGTGGCCCGCTCCAAACTCTTTGGAATGTAACATCTCTTCTAATAATGGGCCAACTTCTATTTCTTTGAAATGTACTATCTCTTCGAATAAACTACTTTTTCAGTACTTGACTCCGGCATCTTGTTCAATTCTTTGCTCTAGTTGCCAATGATCTGTCTGGTCTTTGCGCCAAGAAGGGCCCACTCTCCGACAACACTTCTACATCGATTTCCTCACCTCTGCTTTATTCCAGCCTCTGCGATTACTACCCCAGACAAGTGTGGGTAAGGTGACTGAAGCCTTCCCACATGACTAAATCCAATACATTTTTTCCTGTTCTCATCTCACACTTGATGAGTAAGCACTGATCCTAGAAGGGACTTGACAGTTAAATACTCCCTTAGAGAAACACTGTTGCTTTTCCTCAATTTGCTCTTAACTTCCTTGCTGCTCCTTTGTCCTTGCAAGTTCATTTTCCTCTGCAGGTCATTCAATATTGTACACAAGTCTTGCTTCTGTATCTTTTTTTCTTCTCACTGTAAACTTGGTCCAAGCAGTCTCATCCAAAGCAGCATCTTCATTTATACTGACAACACCCAAATGAGTATTTCTCTGGTTTAACACAAAATGGGGTTGATTTGCTTCATATATATGTATATATCTAAACTTTCCTAGGGATGAAAAGTAATCCCCAAATTCCCAAGGAACAACAGAAAACACTATCCCTATCTCCAACCTAGCTTCAAATCTTGTTGATTCTACCTCCTAAAAGAAAAAAAAAAATCTCTCAAATCTTCCCTTTTCATCTCCATTGTCACAACCCTAGTCAAAAAGTCTCTTAAACTTTTTTGTCCAAGAGACTTTTTACTTCCATAAGTTTATCATGAAAGGGTGCTAGTTATGGTTAGTTGCGTTTAAAATAATATCAACACAAATTTTAAAACCTGATGTCCCCTAAGTCATTAGTTTTAATTTATAAAATTGCTATTCTCTCTGCATATAATCTAGACATATATAAATCTAAATATCACTTTGATATTTAGTCTGTAAGCCTATTATTATATATCCTTGAATGCACAGGGCATACATAGCACAGTGCCTGGAACACAAAAAGCGTTTAATATATGTTTGTCAGATTAATGAATACTTGTTCAGTTAGTTTCTTTTCTCCCTTATAGTCTCCCAATTTCCGCTAAGTAAAACTTAAAGCTTTCCATTTTTAAACTTTGTATGGTGACAGATCGTTATTAGACTTTATCATGGTGATCACATCATAGGTGTATAAATGTTTAATCACTGTAGTACACCTGAAACTAATATAAAATTGTCAACTATAATTTAAAAACTTCCCGTTTTAATACTTAGGTGTTACTCCTGGTAAACTGCAAGGTTTCACTCTTTGTAATTAGCTTTCTAACCCATTCAGATTTACACATTAGGGATGATGACTTCAGCTGTTAATAAAGGCAAGAGTAAATATGGGCAGAATCCCTAACATGTCCACAAATCGTGATTTATAGTGATAATCTGTTAGTAATGGCTAACTCATTTTTTTCTTGAAAGAGAGAATTAAGGAAAAAAAGAACCAAACCTCTAGGATTCCTAAATCTTGCAGATGAGGATGTCCCCTTCTCTTTGATACTCCATGCCCACCGAGCCAAGCCAATCAGATTTTTCCTGTGTTTTTTTTTTTTTTCCTCTTTGATGGGGAAAGGGTTTTTTGGGAGGAAATACTGAGCTTTCCTTTCCCTAAAAGTAGGCCAAACAATTCAAACTTTAAACACAATAACTTTGAACACTTTAAAACAGCTAATCTGAAGGTCATTTTTTTTTTTAAAGTCCTTATGTTAAAATGAGTACTGAAAGGTTGATCAATGTTATCTTTGAGGCTTGCTTTAATAGTCCAGGCAAAGAAAAAAATGTTTGGGCTGTGGTGGTGCTGGTGATAGATGAAACAAGATTTTAAAAAATGCTGATATTTTCTGAAATTCTGTGTTTTCATTTTTCTTTGAGATTTTCCACAATTTTTTTTAAAAAAGATTTTATTGGGGAATTGGGGAAGGAGAACAGACAAGTTGCTGTCCTTTGTTCTTCAGTCTAGTTGTGGAGGACGTCGCTTCACTGGCCCATGTTGGTATTATCATTGCGCTCTTCCCCAGTGAGGCAGTAGCTTGCCGGCCATTGGACGGCCACTCTCGGTGGCTCATGCTGGCTGCTGGCCACTCACGGTAGCTCATGGCAGCCCACTGCAGCCCCTGTGCAGCCTAGCAGTGCTGGTGACTCACAGCAGCCCATCTCCAGGTCGAGCTGTTGTTCACCATCTTAGCTGTAGAGGGCGCAGCGTCACTGGCCCTCATGTGGGATCTGAACCCGGGCCCTGCTGCTCAGAGCTGGCCTCCCAAGCCAACTCTTAACCAAGGCACCACTTGGCCGGTCCTCCACAAAATTTCTTTAAATGTAGCTTTTTCTATTTTTTATTCTCAGAACTCCGTTTTGTCTACGAACCTGAGCCAGGTCCTGGCCACAGGAGGAAAACTGCAGAACCAGCTGTTTTACAAACCTCTGCCTGTCCACTTGTTAATACACTGATTCATTAAGGGAGGCTTTATCTTTGTTGTATACATGTACAATCAACATATAAGTATCTGTTTCATTTTAAGACAGTTGGTCTTCTGCTCCTCTCTCAAATTTGGAGGTTACTAAACCTCCTTTGATATTACGCCAACCTCTTTTTTATAAGCCGAGTATAAGGATTCCTTCCAGAAGCAGCCCTAGTGCCCCTCAGGTCACGTGTATCCGGGGGCGTCGGACGATCGGCCTTCCATGTCTGGGCTGTCTCCAGGGCAGGAAGGCTCTCTCCTCGTCCCCTCTAGGACTCAGTTTCCACAGAGTGAAAGAAGAGCAGGGCGGTTGTGCCAGGGCCCCATAGCCCTCCCCACCCCCGACCTCGGTCAGCTCCGCCTCGAAGGCGGAGCAGCGCGCTCCCCGCCTCCTCCCTCCGCGGCCCCGGGGCGGCGCGCATGTGCCTGGCGCCCCCACCCCGGCCCTGGATTCCACTTCCTCTCCGCTGGCGCTGCAGCCGCAGCCGCCTACAGGCCCCACGCCGCCTCCGGAGTCCATGGCCGGGACGCGCTGGGTGCTCGGGGCGCTGCTCCGAGGCTGCGGCTGCAACTGTAGCAGCTGCCGGCGCACCGGCGCTGCCTGCCTGCCCTTCTACTCGGCTGCCGGCTCCTTCCCGTCTGGCGTCTCGGGCCGCCGCCGCCTGCTGCTGCTGCTCGGGGCCGCCGCGGCCGCCGCCTCTCAGACTCGGGGCCTCCATACCGGGCCTGTGCCCGCCGGGAGGCTGGCGGGGCCTCCCCCCGCGACCGCCTCCGCCGCCGCCGCGGCCGCTGCCTCTTACCCGGCTCTGCGCGCCCCGCTGCTGCCGCAGTCGTTGGCGGCGGCCGCGGGCCCGACGCGGGGATACAGCCAGGTACGTGGGCGCCGTAAGAGACCGCGCGCGGGACCCTTCCCCGGCCGCGCGCACGTGTCTCCGCGCCCCTCTGTGGGCGCCTCGCGTGCGCGCCCGAGGAGCCGCGGCACGCGCCGCACCCCCGCGGCACCCCCGCCCCCGCCCGCCTACTCCTATTGGGTCCGGGAACAAGGGACGTTCTCCCAGGCCCGGGTTTTCTCCTTGTTTTGTTCTCCTCTTGAGTGTCTGGTCGGTTGGGCAGTGTAAGTGTGGCTGGGGATGAAGGTGGAGGCCTTGTTTCCTGCCGGCCCATGGTAGGTTTGCTGAGGCTGTGGACGCCCCCGCCCCGCGTCCCTGTGCTTCTCCGCCCGCTGGTTGTGAAGTTGGGAGGCCGGGCCGGGGAGGGCTGGGACTTTCCGTGCAGCCCCCGCACGAGGCCTGGGCGGCCCCCGGCGCGCCTCGCGGGCTGCTGATGGCAAGGTTCACGCGCACAGTGGCGTGGCCTGGGCTCGTGGGGACGGAGGCTCGTCACCAGCGCTCCCCCGCCTGTCGTGTCCCTGGGGAAAGGCCAGCTGCCCCAGTTTACTGAAGGTCACCTCTGCACCTCCACTTCCTCTGACAGAAGGTCTATGGGTCACCGCCGACGGGGCGACAGTTTGGAGACTGATATTTGGGGAAGGGGTGGAAGGGAGGGGATTTCTAGGGCTGAGGCCACAATTTGGGGATCCAGGAGTGAGTCTGCAATGTGTTTTTTTTTTTTAAGGACGGCGTATGCTTTAAGAACTCAGATTGCAAATATTTTGTACCTTGTAGGAAGGAAGCTCTTTCCGCTTGTTACGTGGCATCTGGGAAATGTCACCGCACTTTTTGACTACCTAGTTCTGATGTCTTGGGTCATATTGATCTTAATTTGAGCTTCTCCTTGAACTTAGGGAAACTGGGAGGCTAATCAGCATGGCTGCTGTCTGCCTGTGGTTGAGCTAATTGATTTGAATCCCGGCCCAATACTTTTTGCTGCCCTTTTCTGTAAAAGCGTATGGTGCTTATGGAATTCTGGGAAATTGGGGCAATGTTGCCCTTATTAAAAAATGCAAACTATCTCTAATAAGCCTTTGTGAACTGGCTACTCTCTTTACTTGATTATTTTTTCTGTGAAATTTAATGATAACTGTTGAGCCTATAGTAGTGTTTCACACTGTGCTTACATTTATCATTGACTTCTTAAAATTAGTGTAAGTGTTCGTGAAAATAATGAGAACATATAAAGGAGCGAAGAATCTCTCTCTTTAGCCCAATAGGGTCCAAGCTTGAGTTGTCTTCCCATGTTAATCGTAGTGATTGTTGCATTCTTATTAAATACGTATTAGACCTCTGCTAGAGGTTTACATTATCACTGAGTCCATAAATTTAGACATGAGTCTTAATGTAAACGGGGGATAGTACAAAGGAATCGCTTTCCTTAGCCCAGTAGAGTCCAAGTCTTAAAACCTGAGTTTTCTTCCCTGTTATGGTTGTGGTGGTTGTTGGAACCTTATTAAAAATTCCAATTCTTGCTTAGTTTTGTAAAACAGAGTTCTTTAGGTGTGTCTCAGGCTTCTGTTACCTCACTCGACAGCTATTGCCTATTTTGGTCTTTCCCTTATTCAGTTGGTCTTGACACATCAGTTGACAGATTAGTTTTTCCAATCATCCTGCTGTTTGTTGATTTCCCACTCCTAAATGTCTTTCATTAGTGCCCCTTTGCCTACCAGGTTAAGGAGTCACATTGAGCTTAATACACAGACAGGTCCCTTTGCTATGTAGTACCAAGTTCCTTTTGCCAGCTCATCTTCTTTGGCTCCTAATTGTACCCTACAGTTGAGCCAAATAGGATTATTGTTGTTTTGCAAATACTTGTTTTTGTATTTGTTCATATTGCTTCCTCCCATTCCCTCACAAACTGGAATTCCCTTTCCTTTGTATATTGCAGTCAGAAGTCTATCCTTTCAAGCCCCATCTCATACCATGTCTTTATTTTTCTTCTGTTAGTGCTCTGTTTTGAATTCTTATAATAATCTTATATCTTAACGCTTACAGCATCTTGTCTTATATGCTTATCTTAGTGTAGATGGTAAACTCTTTGAGATGAGGGCCTAATATGGGGCACAGTGCCTAACAGGAGGCACTCACGTGTTTGTCACATTGAAGGGACCTCTTTTGTTCTGCTTTAACCAAAACACTATTAGATGTAATTTGGGACTGATGAATTTCAAAACAAGTCCTGAATAAAATTTATGTCCTGCCAAACCATTAGGATATGCCTGCTTATTGCTTTAGGACATGTAATTTAAGCCAAAACAGGAAGAGTTAGATTTTACCCCAGTACCATTTAAAAAATTTATTTATTTATATTTTTATTAAAATATAGCTAACATACAGTATTATATTAGTTTCAGGTGTACACCATAGTTATTCAACATTAATATACCTAAAGAAGTGATCACCATAAGTCCAGCAGCCATCTGACACTGTATGTACTATGCTATCACAATATTATTGACTATATTCCATATGCTGTACATTACATCCCCATGACTTATTTGTTTTATATCTGGAAATTTGAACCTCTTAGTCCCCTCACCTTCCCCTACTTTTTAATTTTTTGATTACAGTTGACATTCAGTATTATTTTATGTTAATTTCAGGTGTACAGCATAGTGGTTAAACATTTATATAATTTAAGAAGTGATCCCCCTAACTAGTCTAGTACCCACCTGGCACTATACATAGTTATTACCATGTTATTGACTATATTCCCTGGGCTGTACTTCACCATGACTATTTTGTAAATACCAATTTGTACTTCAGTGCCTTCACCTTTTTCACCTTTTCCCCAACCCCCCTCCCATCTATTGCCCAGCTAAATCTAGTATCCACCTGACACCATATATAGTTATTAAGATATTGTTGATTGTATTCTTTATGCTATACTCTACATCCATCTCCATGACTACTTTGTAACAACCAATTTGTATTTCTTAATCCCTTCCCCTTTCACCCACCCCCAACCCTCTTCCTGTCTGGTAACCATCAAAATGTTCTCTGTATCTGTGAGTTTGTTTCTGCTTTGTTAGTTTATTTTGTACTTTGGATTCCACATATAAGTGAAATCATATTGCATCTGTCTGTCTCTGCCTGACATACTTTACTCAGCACAATTCCCTCCAGGTCTGTCCATGCCACCACAGATGGCAAGAACCCATCCCCTTCCATGGCCAAGCAATATTCCATTGTATATATGTACCGCCTATTCATTATCCATTCATCCACTGTTGGACACCAGGCTGCCTCCACATCTTGGCCATTGTAAACAATGCTGCAATGAACACACATCCCCTGGAAGTAGTGTTTTGGGTTTCTTCAGATAAATAACCAGAAATCGGATTACTGAGTCTTTTTTCGTCTCTTGTTATAGCCTTTGTTTTAAATTTTGTCTGGCATAAGTATTGCTCCCCCAGCTTTTTTTTTTGTTTCCATTTTCATGAATTATCTTTTCCCCCATCCCTTTACTTTCTGTGTGTCTTTCAATCTGAAGAGAGTCTCTTGTAGGCAGCATAAGTAAGGGTCTTGGTTTATAATCCATTCTGCTCCAATTAAAATAGGGTGGCTGAATGGCTAGGATGAGTTAGATTTGTGAAGCTTACTTCTCACCTCTGAAATAGTAACTGTCCCCTAAGAATAGTATCCAGAGCATTAGGTTGTAGAAATAAACATTTTCTAAGTACAATGTCAAAGAAATATTTTTACACTTCTTCATTTCTCTCGGAAGGAGTCCAAAACCACCTACCTGGAAGACCTTCCGCCTCTCCCTGAGTATGAATTGGCTCCATCCAAGTTAGGAGAGGAAGTGGATGATGTTTATCTCATTCGAGCTCAAGGATTACCATGGTCCTGCACTGTAGAAGATGTGCTTAGCTTTTTCTCAGGTATATTTTCTGTATGTTTTAAATATGTAATTTTGTCTAAGTAAAAGATAGTCCCACAAAATCCAAGTTAAGCAATGCAATAGACGTATTATTTGATGGTTAGGAATTGTCTCATTCTGGCTGGCTACAGATGGCGCACCAAGTGATACCATGTGTACTATTTGTAACGCATATCAGGTTTAAAGACTGAATGGAACAAAAAATTTAATGTTAAAACACATAGTATGCAACCAGTTTTCTCGGAAGTTTTAATAAGTACATATCAAAAAGTCAAACCTATTAGTAGAAATAATGTTAGTGGGACTATAGATAAGAGTAGTTCTTTATGGAATACATACATTTAGAATACAAGATCACTTAGTATCAAGTGACATAGTTCCCTTAGTAACATATTTAGAAGATTTACATATTTGTGGTTAGTTTCTTAGTTTCTGTATCTGACTGATTTTTTATTTTGCTTTTAACAGCAAACTTTTTAAGAGGCTTTTATAACATGCCGTCTTAAATGTTGTAAAAAAGATGTAACAACATATTAAGTACCTTAAATGTGCATAGCATTTGTTTGGATCAAGCCTGTTATAAAGCCATTTACATATTCCACTTGTTCCCATTATAGGGTATGCAGTTTGGGGATGTCTTTTCTTGGTACTGAAAGGGGGAGAAAGTTAAATTATGGCAGCAAAATTATTCTTATAGGAGACATTTTAGAGTTTTTTTGGTTATGATTATAACAAAAGACACTTATGCATAAACATAACCATATTTTAATTCCTTAAGTGATTTGAAACTGATTGTAGAAGCATTGGGAAGCACGTAATACTTTTTTTGTTGAGCCTAGCCTGAATTGCCATTTAATGATCAGGGGATCATAAAGTTATGTGTTAAGGTTTGCTTATCTTTTTCACATAGAACATTTTAGAAACTACTACCTCACAGCATTTGGATGGATTCAATGATGGGGGTTTGTGTGAGGATTCTGACAGGCATTTTGGTTCCTGCTTTGTTTTGTTGTTAGAAAATTGCATTCCAGTGACTTGCATAATTGCGCTAAAAGTTTGATTTTTGGTTTTAATTGATTTTACTCACATACTTTTAGACTGCAGAATCCGCAATGGTGAGAATGGAATACACTTCCTCTTAAACAGAGATGGGAAACGAAGGGGTGATGCCTTAATTGAAATGGAGTCAGAGCAGGATGTGCAGAAAGCCTTAGAAAAGCATCGCATGTACATGGGGCAGCGGTATGTGGAAGGTACGCGAAGTCATGTTGTGGCTCTTCAGGATCGTTACACTAAATTTTTATTCTTTCCAAGGCAGTTTCATTTGATCCTTAACAATAACGAAGGAGCTAGATATTATGAATACACTCTTTTACAGGGTGCGAAAATGGAGCACAGAGATAATCTTAGTTTCTTATCTACAAAATGAGGATGTTGACCAAGTTTACCTCACAAGTTGTGATGTTTAAATGAGTGACACCTGGCACATAATAAATATTCAATAAATGTCATTTGGTATTTTCTCCAGCAAATACATAAAGATTAAAAAATACTGGTTTTTAAATTCTTGGATAACCCACCAAGTGCGATTTCTTTAAAAATAAGCCTTCTTTCTTAGTTATGTAAATTATGCATATCTTTTTGTGTTTTTTCTTTGTAGTATATGAGATAAACAATGAAGATGTGGATGCCTTAATGAAGAACCTGCAGGTCAAATCTTCACCTGTGGTAAATGATGGCGTGGTTCGTTTGAGAGGACTTCCTTACAGTTGCAACGAGAAAGACATTGTAGACTTCTTTGCAGGTGCTTTTTAGTTTTATGCTTGAGGCCTCAAATTGTTTTTTCCCTCCATTCTTTCCTTCTATATCTTATGTGACCCTTTTCTTAGGTAATTGTATGCAGTTATATTAGATTCTTTAGGAAAGAACTCTTCACTTGGATTTCTAATACTTATAGATTATAGGAGTGTTTTGGCCTATCATGCTGATCTTTGGGGAATGCCAGAGTTCAAGTGAGTTTATTTTACTCTTGAGAAAAATACCTTCTCATAAGAGTAGCCATATTTGCTTAAGACAATAGCAGTTTATATGATGTAAAAGCATTGTCATGTAATTCTTAGGTATAAAATCTGCACCACTAACAATAGTGATGTTAGTCTAAATCTCTGTTTCCCCTACTATATAATTAATGGCCAAAACAAAAAAGAGAACGAGAGAGAGAGAGAATGGTGTTTTAGATGTACTGCTTAGACCCTAAACATTCTGGAAATATAGATGTGTAGGTGTTGTTAACTTTTGGCTGCATAATAATTTTCTTCCTATTAGGCATGTATCTAGCTTTGGGATTGGCAAAACAGATCCCAAATTTTACTAATCAAGGAAAAAGGAAATAAAATTAGTACGTGAACGAATGTGTTAATTTTAAGGATATAAAAGCTCATGTTAGCACTAATTTGTAATAACCTTTTTGTGTCCTAGGACTGAATATAGTAGACATTACTTTTGTAATGGACTACAGAGGGAGAAGAAAAACAGGAGAAGCCTATGTGCAGTTTGAAGAACCAGAAATGGCCAACCAAGCCCTGTTGAAACACAGGGAAGAAATTGGTAACCGGTGAGTGAAGCAGTTACTAATGATGCAAGAGTATCACACATTGGGTCATATTGATGAATGCTGCTGATCTAAACAGAAAAGTAGAGAATATAGTATGATGAGCTGTCAAATGTCTATCACTTAGATTTACAGATTATTCACATGTATTATATTTGCTGCATGTTTATTTCAGTATCCATTTTTTAAGAAAACATTTTTATATATATCCCAATATATATAACATTTTTATATAATAAAACATTTTTATATAATGTTCCAATTATATATAATTCCAATATTATCACATCTATCAAAATAAGCAATATCTAATGCCAGTCCATAATCACATTTTCTTAATTATTCCAAAAATGTCTTTTTACAGTTGGGGTTTTTTTGCACCAGAATCTAGACATGGCCCATACATTGCATTTGATTGTTATGTCTGCAGTTCTTTTAAAGTAGAACAAATCCCCTTCTCCTTTTTCATTCCCTCCCCCTTTTTAAATGCATTTAACTTTTGAAGAAATTGGGTCAGTTGTCCTGTACAGTGTCTCACATTCTATATTTATCTTATTGCCCTGTCATAGTGTCATTTAACTTGTTCCTTTGTATCCTCTGTTATTTCCTGAAAACTGGAAATTAGAGCTAGCATGTTGAATTGGTTCAGTTTAACATTTTGATATGGATGCTTTATAGGTAATGCTGTATACTGCATATCGTATCACACTAGGATGTATGTAGTGTGATGGGTGGCTTCTTTTGTCTTTTAACTTTAATTTTGGAGGAGTGTTCAAAAGTGTCAAATTTTAAATCACTGGTTTGCTGCTTTCTGGCCTTTTTACTTCTTTGAAGCTTAAAAAACCAAAAAGGCCAATTCCAAAGCCATTGTTTCAAGATCTATTTATAGAATTGGTTCGAAAGTCTTAAATACATTTTTTTTTTTTTTTTTAAAGCTGAGCCATCCTGCCACCTGTTGGCAGCTCAGCTTGGGCCAGGACTCAAACCGCTGTTGCTCAGAGCTCAAACTCTTGAGCGAGCTCTTAACCAACTGAGCCACTCGGCCAGCCCTAAATTTCTTTTTAAATGAAAAAAGATATGCAAACCACCCCCACACCATTTTTTCCCCCCAGCATTCTTCATGTTTTCTTGTATCTTGGAATACATCAGAGTTATGAATTTATGTGGGAATGTTAAGGCAGTGTACAAATCTCTTCAATAAATTAAGAAGTGGTGCTCATCTAATCTTTATAGGTTTTTAACTACAAATGAGTTTTATAATTCAGTATTAACCTAATTTGGAAAAGTAGTGTTGAGAAAAAGAAAACTGGATCCTGAAGCTTGGACTTAATAGTCCCACTGCCAAGCAGATAGCAAGTCAGAATTGACATTTAGTTCATGAATTCTCATTAAACTCTTAGTGAAATTCTGGATGAAGCTAGATCCTCATGTACTATAATATGACTTTTAATATACAGAGGGGTTAATTTTCACAGAATTGAATTGTAAGGCTTCAAGAGATTGTTAACCCACTGTGAAAAACAAAACCCTTCTTACCAGATTAATTCTTTCCATACACACAATTAACCTTAGCATAGTTGTCTTCATAAAACAAAGCAGGGTAGAAAACATTGATAAAATGCATTTGGAGAAAACTGTTATTTTGCGTGGGGGAGATTAAATCAGTGATCTGTTGAGAGTTCTTTTTCATGAGCTAATGTCTATATCCATTCTTACCCCCCCCACCCCATCATCTTTGAACACTTGTGTTTCATAAGCTATTGGAAATATTATATGTGTATGTTTTGTTTTAAGTGAGTTCAATGTAAAGTTACTTTGCACCATTTGTGCCTGTTCGTTCACTTTTGCTTTGACACAGATATATAGAGATATTTCCAAGCAGGAGGAATGAAGTTCGAACACATGTCGGTTCTCATAAGGGAAAGAAAATGGCATCTTCTCCTACTGCTAAGTATATAACTGAGCCAGAAATGGTCTTTGAAGAACACGAAGTAAATGAGGATATTCGACCAATGACCACTTTTGAAAGTGAGAAGGAAATCGGTAAGGACCTGTCTCTTGTTGAGACTCATTGGGTCTATCTTGTGTGTTTTGATATTTGTTAAAAATACTTTTTTGATGACCATGTTGTATGAAATTACACGATTATAGGACAAGGAAATTGAGTTAAGATTTAATATGTCTTTTGAGTGTAGTATGTACTTTGCATATATACAGAAGGGCTTAATTATTTCATGAGGTTTTAAAATTTAATTATTTTTAAAGTTTCTATATCAGAAAAGCTGGGTGACACAAATGTAACAAAAGGGTAAACTGTCAACATTTAAACTAAGGTGGGAAAAGATGTGGTAGAGAGCAGATGTGTTGACTAAAGTAAGGATTTTGTTTGCCTCTGTAATTATTGCTTTGATTCTAACCCCAAAACAACATTTGGAATCTTTGAAGTTTGATAAATCCTTTTAAACTGGTGCCCTGGGATAAGCCTTTTACCTTATTTATTTATTTATTTATTTAAAGTGCCTATAACCTTGAAAGTTACTCTTGCCTTTATTTTTTATTTTATTTTATTTTTTTTTCAGCTGAGCCATCCTGCTACATCCTGTTGGCTGCTCAGCTCGGGCCGGGACTCGAACCACTGTTGCTCAGAGCTCAAACTCTTGAGCGAGCTCTTAACAACTGAGCCACTCGGCCGGCCCTTATTTTTTTATTAATAATTATTTTTCCTTCTCTCTGTTGTTATAGAAAGATGTTCCTTTGTAATCTGGTAATGGGTTGAGGCACTGAATTCTTACGGGTGTTCAGGTGATATTTGTAAGGTAGCAGACATTTCACATCATTTTGGCTTTTAAAATGCAAGCCCTTCTTCCTAACTGGTTCAAGAGGAATTGAGGATTTTGACATGAAGGTCATACTCAGTTGTAATATGTTAATAATTCTTGAAGCTTTTATGTTCTTGACAGTGCTTTTTGTTCCATTTATCAGAATTGCCTAAGGAGATGTCAGAAAAGCTTCCAGAGGCTGTTGATTATGGAACTACATCTTCACTACATTTTGTTCACATGAGAGGATTGCCTTTCCAAGCCAATGCCCAAGACATTATAAATGTGAGTGGCAGGAAGACACCCAATCTCAGTAGGTTTGAGCAAAAGTTCTAAAATTGAACTTCTAGGATTAATTTGGGGAAGGTAAAGAAGAAAATACAGTATTTCTGCAGCATCTTTGAACAGTAAGAAGGCATCTCCATAGTTGTAGAGGCTTGTTTTATTTTCTTTACCTGAGAAGTATGGGATTTATTACATTTTAAGATCAAATGCATAGTGGACAAGAGGATTTTATAGATGCAGAATAAAATGATGTAGGTTTAGTATTCAAAGTAAGAAAGTTTGGGTTTCCAAAAAATTCGTTCAACCCATTCAGTGTTGTTTAGGAACAGACCAGAGGAATTGTCCACACATCAGTTACATGCTAGACAAGAATCCAGTACTCTTAAATGTGTGAGCTTTCATCAGACCATGTAGTCTTCTTGCATCATAATTCCCTAATTTTTGAGAAAAGGAATTCTTAAACTATTTTTATTTTACAATAGATACACTGTATGAAATGAAAAGACAAAACAACAAAGCCCTTACTGACTTCATGAACTTCAGGACGTATACTTAAGGTGGATCCAAACCTAGAGTCTTCACTTAGTAGTGGGGCCTCAGAGTTGTTTTCATTATTTCAAAAAGCCTAATAGGTATCAGATCTTTATGTTAGTGAAGGTTGCACAGTCACAGTAAAGTCTTCCATTCCATTGCTTTGCTATGGAATGATAACCACTCAGTGTGGTCGCTCTGTAGTGCTGATAAGAAACTGATTATCAGGTTACATGTCTGATAAAAAAGTGGTAAAAATGGATTATTAAGAAATGAAGTATATTTGATGGTCAGTCTTTACAAACAGGAAGGATGTGTATGGGAGAAATAAAGTAGTCTTTGTTGGTATAAAAAAAGTTGAGACCTACGTATTTGTATAGTATTAAGTTGTCAGTGAACAGATATTCGAGATGAACCTGGAGATTTAAGAGGATCAGAAAAGCCAGAAGAGATGGTGGAGGTGTAATTACTTTGTTGCTTAAAAGAGATTTCCTAAAAATACAATTTTTCGTATACGAATCAAAGTCTGTAAGAAACATACAGAGCCACCAGACTTCTCAGATTTGGGCCTAGTGTCATTATGTTTCTTTTTTGCTTTCTTTGTTCATTGTTTAGTTTTTTGCTCCTCTGAAGCCTGTTAGAATCACTATGGAGTATAGCTCTAGTGGGAAGGCCACAGGAGAAGCTGATGTGCACTTTGACACCCACGAGGATGCTGTTGCAGCCATGCTCAAGGATCGCTCCCATGTTCGTAAGTGCTGCCTGGGGTTTTCATTTTCATTTCTGGTGTCTGCCTGTGCTTACAAATGCCTTTTTCCGCTTTGGATTTTGCCTAGAATATTTCCTTGGGAAAATTGTGCTCTGTCAGTACTACTGAATTAAATGTATTGTAAAAAGGACGAAACCTTATTATAACATAAAGCATTTTTTAATTTTTAGTTTGTTAATTATCCTGCATGTTTCTATTCAGAGTGAGTTAGGATTTTTTAATTTTGTTTTTGAATTTTTGTTTTTGATTTTAATTAGGAAAAGGAATGGGCAAAAGGGTTTGAGTTTCTGTCTGAACTATGAAATAAATGGCTGCAATGTTAATTTCTGCCTTTTCAACTTGTTTAAATGAGTGGTTTTTGTTTTTTGTTTTTTTTTGTTTTGTTTTGTTTTTGTTCATTCTCAGACCATAGGTATATTGAATTGTTCCTGAATTCATGTCCAAAGGGAAAATAAAAATAAGACTTCCAGGGACTCCAGATAATAAGGTAAACTTAAGGGGTACAATTGCAGAAATGATTTTCAGTTGGTAAATTAATCATTAGTTTACTAATTTGTAATATGGTGAGACCGTTCTCTTTTTAATAAAGATGAAACTATTTTGGAGTGTGTGAATCAACTGAATATATTTTGATTACATCAAGTCCTGGTATATTATAAGAAGAAATAATTAATTTTTAGTTGTGTTTGTTTTTATCATCCTGTAATTGAAGCATCAATATAAGGAGAAAAATTCTCCTGGGAAATAGAATTCATTATAATAGTATAGTGGCTTTGAGTATTTTTCCCATATATAGCCTTTTTGAATCTTTCCCAACATTCTTAAGTCTATGTGCCTAAAAATAATTTTTCACCATTAGTAGCTATAAATCATAATACACTGGAAATGTGGCTCGCATTAGCTTTTCTTCCTATAAAATTTAAACACATTTCCTCAGTTCCAAGGTATTTTTAAGATGTTTAAAATGATACATTTAAAACCAGGACGTATCATTGATGGTACACTTAATGTACCACTGTTTCTTTTCCTAAAATGGTATTACGAAAATGGTTGTCCTACGAAGTACATTGGATTTCATAGGGTTAACTTATCTGCAACAAATCTGCCAACTATGTCTTGATGTCGTTTCCCTTGACTCAGTGTTTTGTGGTGTCTTTATTTTTCTCCATAAAATCTTTTAATATGTTTAATTTTATTGTAATCATTTTTCTACATGTAGTGGTGCATTCCTTTGAGACACTTCACTGTAATGATTTCTTGAAAGCACATGGGGCATTTCTTTATAATAGTTTTCATGAGCTATTTTTAGATATAAGTCCCACAATCTTAGGATATTAAATATTTATATTAGCTAAAATCTATGTAAATTATATTCTGTGCTCAACCTTGATAATCTCCTATCTTCATGCCAGCTTGCAAATACTAATGTCTAACTTTGTTCACCTTAATTAATTTGTCAGATAAGTTGCACGAAATCAGAAAGAAAAAAAATTATTGAATTTGTAGTTTTAAATTGTATGGGAACATGTGCAACACTTTTTCATTAGTAAACGTGCAACATTTTTTGTTTTATTTCAGGATGAAGCAAGAAGCATTTCATTTGCACATCTTTCTTGGACGTGGGATATAAAGTTCCAGTTTTTTAGCAGCAACTGCTACAGAAAGGATTTTGGGATTTGGGGTTAATTGCTTATAAGAAAAATTCCGTAGTGGACTGTTTAGAAAGAAAATGGAAGATTCAGTTTGGGATTAAATAAACCACAAAATTTAAATTTTTGTTTAAACTGTCCCGGATCTAATTTAAAAATCTGGTCTTTATTTTATATGATAAAACAGTTTGTTTTCATAGAAGAAATATTACCCAATGTAAAGACTGCATATTTTTATTCAGCACTGTCCTTTAAAGACTTTCCCTCATTTTAAAAATGGTATTTGAGAGCTCTGATATAAAACTTACCATGGAATAAAATACTGATTTATTTTAACCAAATACGCACCAAAGCAAAGAAAGGTTTCCGACCTTTGAACCGTTATGGTTTTACAGAGTAGTTATAATTTTAGGTGTATTTGATGACTTAGGGGTAGGAATTAAAAAAAGAAAAGAGTCAAAACAAAAAATAAATACCACAGATTAGTGAGTGTAAATAACTATTTGGCAGTTTCATGTTTTTAGAAATGTTTTGCCTTTCTAGGCCTTGTACTGAAGGCATTTAACATTAATGCCAGTATGCTTAAGGAGGGAATTCTAGCCTCAACTTAAAAGTTGTCTTAACACCCCCCAACCCCTTGTTTTGGTTTTGGGTAAACTGTAAGGGTGTTCGTCTCAATCCTGTGAAGTGACATGTCAGAACAGTCCTGACTGGTAAGGACATTAATGGCTTCACTTGAGTTTAAACCAGCTCTAGATAGGAAAAAAAATCTCAGTCTCATTTGCTTTTTCAGTGGGGTAGCACATCCCATATTTTAGAACAAAGGGGTGCCTTGCTTAAATAAAAATAGCATTTAATGTATAATTGTGTGAAGGATTTATGGATGAAGCTGTATTTCTGTCACATTATTGCAGTACTTTCTGCTTTAATATTAAACAGCTTGTTATTTAACTATTGGATCAAAATGGCTGGCTTCAAAATGTAGTCATTAATAAACTAAGTTTATGTGCACCTTGTAGGAGAATCAACATCCTTTATACTTTCTTTGCCTTGTTCCTGTTCTCAGGGTGACGACTGCTATGTAGATAGTTACCAGGAAATGCAATCCTAATTCATAAAATTGAATTAGCCCAGATTTCTGAGCGGTGATATCTGGAAGAGAGATTATGTCTTCTCTCACTCAATACATAACCATCTTTGATTACCAGCTAAGATACAAAATCACTGTACTGTAAATAGTCAATAAATGAAGGCTTTGTTTCAGGCTGAAGATTACCTAAGAGTATTTATTTTGGAGTGTGTGATCAACTGAATATATTTTTATTACATCAAGTCCTGGTATATTATTATAAGAAATAATTAATTTTTGGTTGTTTGTTTTATCATCTTTCAAGAACATGACTTAATCAACCAGCTTAACAGCTTCAGTATTACTACTTAGATGGAAATGTGTTTTCATATATGTGTACTCGTGAGCTATGAGAACTGGTGTCTGTAACTGTGTGATCTATTGGAATGTGATCTTTTCTGTCCCTTTAGCAGTCGATACCTAATTTGCACTGGAAAAAATCTGTAGGGTGATTGGGATTGGGGTTGGTGAGGAATTCATTTGCAGTTACTGTATTTTAAAGCTAATGAGTTTAATTTGCACCTCTCTGGGAAAAGAATGAGAGCAAAAGCATTAAAACGTTACATGGTGAGTAAGCTTGCAGGGGTTTATTATCTCTCCACACTAGTGGCTGAGTTCTTAGTACAAAGGGTGGCCATTCTAGGGAAGCCATCTTATGAATTCATATACTTTCCTATACGCCCTTTAGTAAGTTATTGCTCATAATTTAGGTTAGTGAATGAGTGATCGCTGACAAGGCAAATGTAAAAAGCACATAATAGAATAAAAGTAGCCTTTTATTTCGATCCAATCAAAAACATTTCTCACAGAATTTGACAAAACTGGGTTGTGTATTGTTATTTGCTATTGAAAGAAGTAATGACAGTGAATTTCCCTTCTACAGAAGGTGCCAAAAAATGTATACACATTTTAAGAAAGGAAAAACCTATTAAAATGGTAATACTCAATATATACCGATAACAAAAGATGAATTCAAGTCACATTTGACTTCTGCAATTACAAGAGGTGCTCAAAGTGGTTACCATCAGCGTCCAGACACTTCTGATTACGGCGAACTACTGCTTGAGCAACGTTAACCAAAGTGTTCACTTGTATATATTTTTTAGCACCCCTGGTATTTTGTCTTTATAGTCTTCTTTGTGGTAAAGCTATAAAAAATAGTGGGATTGGATATGGCCAGGTTACCCATATCCTGCTTTAGCTAGCTACTTCTCAAGGACTTGGAAAGGAGAACTCTGATAAGTAGTATGTAGATACCAAAGAGGAAATTGCTAAAGACTGTGATCTGGTCTGATCTACTCAACTGATACCAGCGAATGAAGCAGGACCAGAATATTTGTGCCTCTATGCTTGGGTGAAGAAGGCTCTGCCAGGTGGGAAGGGAGACAGTCTGCTATGGAGTGGAAGACTCTAAATCCTCACTATGTCTGCAGCGTAGGGAGGAAGCCACTTCCATCTCCATGACATTTGGAGGCAAGGACCCTGTTTATTACTAGTCCACGTGCCCTATTGGCATCCTCTGCCCTAAACAGTCTCTTAGCAGATTGTCATTTGAGATTTTTTCTGGGTTACAGCTTATTGGTTTTATAATTTATTAAAACATTCCGTTGTTTTGAGTTTTCCCTAAATTATGTGAAAGGGTTCACATTCAATTGGTAGGACCTGTATTATAGAGAATGGTATTACCTTAGCAGTCAAGTAGAGGCAGACCTAAATTCCAGGGGCTTTGAAAAAAAGTTGGTTCTAATGTACTAGGAATAGTTTTACACCCTGAATTCAGCACATTAGAAAATGATCTGAAATTAGTAGGAAGGGAATAAAGCTGCCATAAACATTCACGTGTAGGTTTTTGTGTGTACCTGTATTTCAACTCCTTGGGGTAAATACGAGGAACGCAATTGCTGAGTCATATGGTAAGACTATATTTAGTTTTGTTAGAAACCGCCAAACTGGCTTAACGAGGTGGCTGTACCATTCTGCGTTCCCACCAGCAATGAGCGCGAGTTCCCTGTAGCAAGTCATCCTTGTCACCGTTTGGTGGTGGTAGTGTTTTGAATTTCAGCTGTCTTAATAAGTGTATAGTGGTATCTCGTTTTAATTTGTAATTCCATAATGGCATATGATGTTGGGTATCTTCATATGTTTATTTGAATCTATATTGTCTTTGGTGACGTGTCTGTTAGATCTTTTGCCTAGTTTTTTAGGTTGGTGGTTTTCATACTGAATTCTAAGAAGGGTATATAAGAAGGTTTAGTTTGGTTCTTAAGCCTTGATGATATGAAAATAGTGGGGTAATTTTTAAATTTTTGTATTTTAATTTTTGAAGGAAATAAAATTCTAGAGATACAAAGGGGTATGCAGTCAACACAGTCTTCCTCCCATCCTGTGCTTCAGCCGCTTTGTCTCCCTTCTCAGGTAATCCTGTCACCAGTTTCTAATGTAAATGCTCAGTGATATTAAATATAGATAAGCAAATAATCATTTATTTTTAAAATATAAATTACAGCATACGTACTATACATACTATTCTGTACCTTTTTTTCCATTCATTACATCTTAAAGATCATTTGATCTCGTTTTTTAAATGATTGTACAGTATGGATGTATGCAGTTTAACCTGCCCCTTACTAATGAACATGTAAATTGTTTCCAGTCTTTTGCGATTATAAGTGCTGAAATGAATTGCCGGGTATAGATTTATGTCATTTTATACATACAAACTTCTCTGAAAGATCAAAGGTCAGAATATGTGCACTTGTAATTTATATCTAAAATTAAATTTATATCTATATATTTTTTCTTAGTTTGCACCAGCATTGCAAGTGTCCATTTCCTCATACCCTCACTAACACACTGTATTAGCAATTTGTTGTTTGCCAGTCTGACAGGTTAAAAAACACATGCAATGGTATTCTCTTATGAGGTAGCATTTCTTCACGTTTAGAGCTTTTGGATTTTTTTTACTGTGAATTCTCTTCACAAACCCGTTTTTTTCTGTTATGATCCCCATCTACTCATTAATTTTAAAGCAAATTTAAGACAGTATCATTTATCTGTATATCAGTATACATCTCTTTTTAAAAAGGACTGTAAAAAAATACCATAATTCCTAAAAATACTAATTTCTTACTACCAAATATCTGAAATGTCATTTTTTTAAAAAGTTTGCTTGAATCAGGATCTGAACAACAGTCCACACGTTGCAATTGGTGACTATGCGTCTTTTTCCCCTGCAACATTTTGAATACAGAATTTGAAGCATACAGAAAAGCTCAGTTATAAACATGCCTATATCTACGATCACCTCGATTCTACAAGTAACATTTTGCCATATTTTCTTTATCTATGCGTCAATCTTTCTTCTTTATGCGTGTCAAAGAAAGTTGTAAATGTCTATACTTAAGCTTTCTGGCATACATGGTTAACAAGTTTTTTCCGTATAAAATTGACAGTGAACCAAGTCCCTAGCAAGCTGTGAAATGTTTCCATCACTTTAGAAAGTTTGTTTTACCCAGTCACTTCCTGCTCTTCTCCCTGTTAGGATTTTGTTTGCACCATAGATTAGTTTGGCCTTTTCTAGAACTTCATATAAATGGAATCACACATTATGTATTCTAAATTTCTTTCAGCATGTTTTGAGATTCATCCATATGTTTCAGCTCTTCGTTCCTTTTCATTGCCGAGTAGTAGTCTATTGTACGAATATGCTACCATTTTTTTAACCTTTCACTTGTTAGGTGAAAAACTGATGACAATGGGCTGTTTCCAGTTTTTGGCTATTATAAATAAAGTTGCTATGAACCTCTTGTGCAAGACTTTTTGTGGACCTATGTTTTAATTTCTTTTGGGTAAGTACTTAGCAGAATATCTTGAGTTGTAAGATGGATATACAGTAAAACCTTAGATTGTGAGTAACTTGTAATGGCACAAACAGCTATTACCAATCTAATAATACATTTTAACTTGATAAATGAGCGATGTCTTGCAATACGAGTAGTTCATTTCCAGAACAAATTATGCTCACAAACGGAGGTATTACTGTATTTTAAATTGTACTACAAATTGACATACTCTTTCAAAAGTGGTCATCCTATTTCTCACATCCCAAACAATATGAGAGTTCCAGTAGACTACATCCTCACCATTTGGTGGTGTCATCCTATAATTTTAGCCATTGTGTGTTAGTGGTATCCCACTGGTTTTAATTTGCTTTCCCAGACAGTCGATGATACTGAGCATTTTTTCATAAGCTTATTGGCCAAATATCTTCTTTAATGAAGTGGAAGTGCCTATTTTCTGTTTTAATCTATATGTTTCCTCTTCCATTTCTTTTTCCTTTGTTAAATAAGATTAACCTGCAGAGGTTCCCACAATCTGAACTTTTCTGTGATATTTATTGATTCCTTTTCTCTTATGTTTGGTCTTTTTCTTAACTAATTAGCAGGAGCCCTTTATTTTTTTTTGTTTTTAAGATTTCATTGGGGAATTGGGGAAGAGGAACAGACAGGCTGCTGTCCTTTTGTTCTTCAGTCTAGTTGTGGAGGACGTTGCTTCACTGGCCCATGTTGGTATTATCATTGTGCCCTTCCCGGGTGAGGCAGATCAGTCGCCGGCCACTGGACAGCTGCTCACGGAGGCTCTTGGCAGCTCATGCCAGCTGCCAGCCACTCACGGTAGCTTACAGCAGAACCCTGCAGCAGGGGCTGCAGCCTACGCCATCGCCGGTGACTCACAGCACTCCAGCTCCAGGTCGAGCAGTTGTTCACTATCTTACCTGTAAAGGGCGCAGCGTCACTGGCCCTAATGTGGGATCCGAACCGAGGTCCTGCTGCTCAGAGCTGGCGTCCCAAGCCAACTCTTAAAAACACGCCACTCGGCCGGTGTAGGAGCCCTTTATTGCAATGAGCTATTTTTAATTACCTTTCCTTCCCAGTTTGTTTCTGCTCATCATGGCAGAAATTATGTGGTGGAATTCTTAAATCTCCCCTTTTAAGGCTTCTAGGTTTTGTGTAAGAATTAGGACATCCCAGTGAAATGATTTTGAAAGCACCTGGTGATAAGGCATGAAGGTGTATAACCACAGTAGTCTAGAATATGGATGGACTCAGTGAAACACAAGGATTGCCAAGACACAAGAATAAGCTTTTCAAATGGTCCAGACTAAATTTGAAGTCCACAGGTGAAACATTACAGGTGTATTCAAGGACTTGTCCCAAAACATACTTGGTTCTAACTGAAAGAGAGGTTCTCAACCTTTCTGCCACTTGACAATGACATTTGGGAATAAAGACCAAGAGCAAAAAAGAAACTGAGTTATTCACAATTTCTGATAGACTGGCTGTAATTCCATCCATTTCTTGTCCTCTCAAAGCAAATGAAATATAAGTACTAGTAGGCTAATTTTTAACCTGTAATTTACAAGAATAAATTATTTGTGATAAACCTTATAAGTGAGTATGAGTGATACTATTGTGCCAGAAAGTACCCCAAAACGGTATAAGGCAATACTGCTGCCTGGAGTCCCACACACAGCTTTTCTACCTTCCTGCCCACTGGAGGCCTGAGTTCTCTGCCAAGCTTAATTATTAACTCCTAGGATGTGATATCCTCAGCAATGCTTACAACTAGTCATTGGTTTTGTTTTTAACTAATTTTACATTTTAAGATAATACACTTTGAATAAAATTTGTCTTGCTCTAGGTATAGAAATGGTGCTTGTGAGAGACTTGATTTCTGATTTGGCAGGCTGACTGACATTCTTACAAGGATCTCTTATACCAAAGTAATCAATGTGTTAGCAAAATCAACTGTTCTCAGGAATGTAGAGAATAAAATAGACTTCAGTAATTGACAATCCCCAACGCAACAAATGTCTAAGAATCATTAAGATCACGACTTGGGAGAACATGTAGGGGGGGGGATATATTAGGTTAAGTTATTGGAAAGATGCTTTACTATAAATCAAAACATGGCCACTTCTGAAATACAGTTCTTTACAAAGGACTGGCATTTTCTGTTGAGCAAAACTGAAATGAGGCTGTAATAGACAGTGGCCCTGAGAGCTGCCTCAAAATCACTAGGCCATACCTGGTGTCCTTTCACAGAATAAATTCCCTTTAAGAATTTCATCATGTTTTTTATTGACTATAAATAATGAATGTACCAAGGACCTTAAGCTGAGCTATAAATGTGATTTATTATAAAATCCCTATGCTAAGGAAAAGCCTCAGATTTTATTTGGAAATAAACTGCATTTAGAGAGCTCAGTCAAGTTCTATTAGGTTAGAACTATAGTTTTGAATATGAAAACAAATTTGTTTTTAAATAAATTTTAAACCAACTTTTCATTCCAGAATAGATTTAGATATACAAAAATGTTGCAATAGAATTCCTGTATACACACCTCACCTAGTTTGCCTATTGTTGACATCTTAATTGCTACAGTATATTTGTCACAACTAGCATTATTACATTGCCAATAACTAAATTAAACACTTGATTCACATTTTATTAGCTTTTCCCTAATACCCTTTTTGTTCCAGGATCCCACTTTACGTTTGGTCATCTCCTTTACCTCAGACTTTTTTGTTTTTGATGACCTTGACAACGTTAAGGATCAGGTGTTTTGTAAAATGTCTTTCAACTGGGGTTTTTTGAAGTTTTTCTCATGTTTAGACTGGGGTTGTGGGTATTTGAGGGGAACACAAAGGTGTCATTCTCACTGCATCTTATCAAGGATTCATATTATCAACATGACAATCACTGATGATGTGAATTTTGATCACCTGGCCAAGACAGTGTTTTGCTAGGTTACTATACAGTCCTTTTTCCTCTTTCCGTATTCTACTTTTCCTTGAAGCAAGCTACTAAGCACAGTCCACATTCAAGACGGGAGTTAAGCTCCATCTCTTGGAATAGTTACATTAATTATCTGGAATTCTTCTGCATCAGTGGCACGCCATTTCTCCACTTATTTCTTTGTATCAATATGGACTCATGGATATTTAATACTTGGGATAAAATCCTATACATTATTTTGTTGGTCACATTATTCCAGCTTTGGTCCTTGGGAGCTTTTAGTTGGCTCATGTCCCTTTGCTATTCACTCCCATCCTTTGGCTTTTATAGCACTTCCTTTCTGGCATTACAAGATGCCCCAGACCTACAGTCAGACATTTCTCCAAGAAGCCCTGGTTCTTTTTATTGGAGAATGTTACTAGAAATGAAGCTTTGGTTTCTGATGAAAGATTGGTCCTTGGGTGTGCCCATTGCTACAGTGTTGGCTTCTAAATCCACTCAGCAGACAGAGCATTGCCTGTGTACCAACCCACGTATGCATACATACCTCATTATTTTCTGTATCTCTCCTGCAAAGCGTGATTTAAAAATATTGTGGTAAAATACACATGGCAAACTTTACCATTATTTAAGTGTACATTTCTGTGGCATTAAGTACACTCATATTGTGTAAACACTACCGCCATCCATCATCAGGACTTTTTCATCTTCCCCAACTGATACTCTACCCATTTTCCCCACTCCCCAGCAACCACCATTCTACTTTGTCTCTGAATTTGATTGCCATAGGAACCTCATACAAGTGGAATGACATATTTGTTCTCCAACTGGCTTATTTCACTTATATTAAGTTTCCTCAGTGTAGTTTGTGTCAGAATTCCCTTTTTTAAGGCCAAATATTTCATTGTATTGATCTACCATATTTGGTTTATCCATTCATTGGTTGATGGACACTTAGGTTGCTTCACCTCTAAGTGTTGTGAATAACTATTATTGTGAATAATATTGTGCGATGTATAAATATCTGTTCAAGTTCCTGCTTTCATTTCTTTTGGGTGTACATCCAGAAATGGAATTGCTGTATTATATGGTAATTCGATATTTAATTTCTTTAGGAACTACCATACTGTTTTCCACAGTGGGTATGTTACTTTACATTACCACCAAAGTGCACAGGGGTTCCAATCTCTCCACAAAAGTTTTTAATTTTGATAAAGTCCAGCTGATCTTTTTTGTTGCCTTAGCGTTTGATCTTATCCAAGAAAACATTGCCAAATCCAATGCCATAAACCTTTATGTTTTCTTCTAAGAGTTTTATAGTTCTAGCGCTTATGTTCAGATTTTTGATCCATTTGGAGTTAATTTTTGTCTATGGTATAAAGGTCAAACTTCATTTTTTTTTTACATGTGGATATCCAATATTCCCAGCCTCATTTGTTGAAAAGACTGTTCTTTCCCCATTGAATGGCCTTAGCACCCTGGCCAAACATCATTTGACCATATATGTGAGGGTTTATTTCTAGGCTCTCTGTTCTAGTCCATTAGTCTCTGTGTCTGTCTTCATGCCAGTACCATACTGTTTTGATCACTGTAGCTTTGTAGAAAGTTTTCAAGTCAAGAAATGGGAGAACTCCAATTTTGTTTTTTTTCAAGATTGTTCTGGCTATTTGGGGGCCCCTTAAGATTTCACATGAATAGTAGGAAGGATCCTTCCATTTCTGCAAAAAAATATTGGGATTTTTTGCTAGAGATTACATCGACAGCTTAATATCAAGTATTCCAATTTGTGAAAACGAGGTATCTTTCCATTTATTGGTATCTTTAATTTCTTTTAGTTGTTTTGTAGTTTTCAGTGTACAAGTCTTCTGTATCTTTGGTTAAGTTTATTCTTAAATATGTTATTCTTGTTGATGCTATTGTAAATGGTGGAAAGCACAATTTTTAAGGAAAATAGGCCTAACATTAAGTATTCACGACTTGGTCCTCTTGTTTTCATGGGCAGCTCTACTAACAACAGATTTTTGGAGCTTTGTTTCAAAAAGAAAAGATTAAATACGAGGTTGGACAATTAAGTTTGCGAACTTATCCTAGAAAAAGTGCTACATATCTGATTGCTGAACATCACAATGGTCACCTTTGAAGTACTCCCCTTGGGAAGCTATGCTCCAATGCGAGCGCCTAGTTCACCCTTCAAAGCAACTTTGGAATTTTTTCTCTGGAATGGCCATCAGAGCTGTCAAATTACCCTTGATGTCCTGAATATCATCAAAATGTCTTCAGTATTTCCTTTATCTTTGGGTAAAGAAAGAAGTCATTGGGGGCCAGATCAGGTAAGTAGGGAAGGTATTCCAATACAGTTATTTGTCACTGGCTAAAAACTGCCTCACAGACGGTGCTGTGTGAGCTGGTGCATTATCGTGATGCAAGAGCCATGAATTGTTGGCGAAAAGTTCAGATCGTGTAACTTTTTCACGCAACCTTTTCAGCACTTCCAAATAGTAAACTTGGTTAACTATTTGTCCAGTTGGTACAAATTCATAATGAGTAATTCCTCTGATATCAAAAAAGGTTAGCAACATCACTGCAACAAATTTGTAAACTTAAGTGTCAGACCTTGTAGCATATGTGCAATTCAAAATAAAATCTCAAATAGCTAATTACTTATTCCACCTTATAGTCCATGAACAGAGCTGCCTCTTTTCTATTTAATTCAAAACTAATTATAACTTTTGCTCATTTAGGATAATTCCTAAATTCCCCAGATTATCTGTAGCATCTAAAATACTGCTGGCATATGTAAGTAGCCAAAAATAAGGAAAATGGAGAATCACAGAAAATAAACATTTAAAGGGAAAATAAAACAACAACAAACTAAGCTAGAATTATCAGATTTTATTTTTCCTTAATACTCTCAAAACTTAGCTTTACCAAGTAACAGGCCAGACTTCTGAAATAACCCTTTCCCAGGCTATAACCCTTTTCAGGAGCCAGAATTTATTAAATACCGAGGTTCCAGGATGTTTCCACCCCAGAATTCTAAACCAGTTACAGAATCTTATCTCCTGAGGTCTTAATTGGAATCAAACAATCTAGACACACGTAACATCATCAGAACAGCATATACCATCTTTCCTTCCCACGCTGAATGCACTTTCTTCTTTTCCACCAAAGAACTGTTACTATAAGATTTTTGAGTGTCATAATTTCTAAGATTCTGTCTACCAGTGCTAATTCTTGGCTCAGAATAAGGGATCCCTTATTCAAGAAAGAATTTAATAAATATTCTGAGCTAATTGTTCCCAGTCATGGACAAATTTAATTTTACTTTACACCAGACTTAGCTTGCTTTCAATACTTCCTATTCTCAAAAGTCAAACCCTATCTTTAAAATTCTTAACAATTTCCATTATGACTTGGAGGAGGGAGGGACTGGGGAAGAGAGTTTCCTTGTTTCATAGTAGGAGACTCTGAAAAGGGCAGATGCTCACTTTAGAAGTCATTAAGTGGAAAAAGCTAATGTTCCTCCTCCTTGTTCTGATAATGGAAACACTTGTAAGTCCAGACCAGAAAATTCTGGTCCTGAAACTATAATATATTACAATATTGCTTTAAGTACATTCAGAATTTATATTACTCTTTAATTTTTCCCTGAGTTTGGGTTCACAGTTTGGTGGAGATGCTTTAAACAAGAGGTAGTTAGCTGGGTGAAGAGGAAACAATGTTTATGTCTAGCAGCACCTGGGGAAATACGTAACATCTGTTATTTTGATCTCAGTTAACATTTATCATTCCCCTTTGAATCTGCAAATGTAATAGAGGAAATGATCGTTTTCCTTTTTATTCTTATCTATGGACCCTCCTATTGTATCTACCCCAGTGTTATCACTATTCATAAACATGAGTAGCCCTTCCAAAGACATGCTATAAAATAAATCCTTCAAAGTGGGGCTGTTTAGATTTAGAAGAGAGAGGCTCAACTGAGTCATTTTTATTCATACAGTTCATTAGGGAAAACGAGCAAAATTTCCAGTACCCCCAACCACTGCCTTTTCTCCCTGGACCTGGTTTATTTAAATCATTCCTAAAAACTCTTGACTTGCTGCTAAGGTCTGGGCTCCAGAGGATCCTGCCATCTAACATAGGCAGAGACATTCTGGTCCAGGTCTTGGCCTCCAGTCTTACGATGGGCTGCTGGAATACTGTTTCATCAGATGCTTGTGACAGGGATTGCAAACTCGCTCAGGCTTGATACTTGAAGGAAGAGGCAGTTCATTTGTTGAACAGGCGTTACAGAAGGTTCCTTTGCAGTTCTTACACATATTCTACAAAAAGAAAAGGAGGTTAGGTGGGGAATTGAAGAGCCAGGCATATGGATGCATGGGTTGTAAAAGGCCAAATACTGGAAACGTTCAAACCTAACCAAGTATTGACAGAATGTCTGCTATGTGCCAGGAAGTATCTGACCAAACACACACTGTACAAAGCAGTTTACAGTCTAGTTCCTAGATCTAAATAAAGAGAAGCAGTGTCACAGAATAAGAACAGATAATACACAAATTCTTTGGAAGACATACTTTCATTCACTATATTCACTTAGGTGGGCTAATTCTGGAATTAGTTTACAAGTACCTAAGCATACTCCAAATAAGGCAGGCAGAGACCTAGCAATGGACTGGGTAGCAAGCCTAAGATTCAATCATTTGCTGAGCATGAACAGAAAGTACAATCCCTGATACACCGATGTGCTTAACGCTGATGTTCTATAAGCATGTCCTTTGGGACACTAGTGCAGCAACAGCACAGCTTCCTGCATCCTGTGTGCAGGGAAATTAGTCTCTTTATTAAGCAGTTTGAACCTTTAGAGGCCAAGCAGTTGGATGGCACGTGGGTCATTATGGCAGTGTCACTGTAAGGCTGTGCACACACAGCTCCAAGAGCCCCTACATCAAGGTTGTGAAGAACTTCCCCTATGAATAATGACACTTTCTCCCAAACAATTCATCTTCCTGAGGGTGCGGTGGAGGTAGGGTGTCACTTATATTTGAAAGGCAGGGAGGAATTTTCCTGACATACTGAGGCACTTTGCATGACACTCCCCCCTCCCCCCCAACCTGTCTTATCTGTTCTAAGCAGCAGGGAGTACTGAAAGGAGTGCAGACTTTGGAGCCAAAGTCAAGTTGCATCTGGGCTCTGCCACTTATGACCTGAGTAACTTTGTGAAATGTACTTAACATCTCTGAGCCCAGGGTTCTCATCTGACAGCACAAAGGACACAAGCTTCACAAGAACAGGGATTTGGTCTTCACTTTTGTTCATTCTTTCTCAGCACATGGAATAGCACATTCCACAAAGTAGGCACTCAATAAATATTTATTTATAAACTTACATTTATTTGTTTTAAATTATTTTACTTGTTTATATTTATGTCAACAGGGATTTACCGACATGACTTACAAAAAAACAAAACAGATATACAATAAATGCTTGCTCCTTTTGCTTTTCTCCCCACCCTGCATTCTACACAGCAAGTCCCTATTATTGAAAGGGGTTCAAGTCTCCTCACCATCACCTTTGTCAGGCTGCTGTCTTCCTGGCATAGCTGACACGTCTGTGGCTTCTCAGAAAGCAGCTGCCGATCCTAAACAATACAGCGAGCTGGTTAGTTTCCCTTAGCCCTAGAAATACTTATACTTCCAGAATATGCATTTTTTAGTGACAAAAATTATATAGCCACATTACATACTATCTGGAAACTAAACAAACAAAATTATATACGAGTATAGTCCTACCACCTTAATACAACTCTAATAATACTATCATTCACCTTGGAGCTCTTTTAATTTTCATAACGAAGTAACGTGATTTTATTTATAAAAAGAAAATTCAAGTATATAAGTGTAAGGTAAAAGCTTTTTGTTTATTTTTTAAAAGCCCATCCCTCTTGTCTTACTCTACTATGGAGAATGGAAAGCAGACTTAATTTTATATCTTAATAAACGACAGGGTGACACACATAATAGCATTAATCATCTTTCTCATGGGGTTCTCATATACTATTTATCTGCAAAGTATTTCACAACCATTTATGTTTGCTTATTTCTAAGTGATCAAGAAGTATTTTTTTTCTCTCCATTTTATAGGGCTCATAGTATGTGAAAGAGAATTTCAAAGAAGTGAGAATTGTAGTTTACTTATTAAATTGCTCAAAGCTGTGCTACTCCCTGTGAGAGTTTCAGGCAAATAAATGCTTGTTCAGGACATTGTTAGGACAGGACAGAGGCCTGTGTGCGTTCATCTCCCTCCCATGCTGCCTTGTTTACAGCCAGGCATGGTACAGCCAACTTCATAATTTATACAAGATGCTTTAGGATGGGAGATTCAATTACCTGTTCATCCATAGGGTGAGGCTGCAGCCTAGAATGGAAAATTAAAAACAGCAATTTATTATATTTCCATTTGTATCACTTCTAAAGCACACAAAACAGGAATAACATGGCTTTTTTTTGTTTTGGGGACCAATATAATCACTAATCTTGACCTCCAAGGTGAGGAAAGTTTGGTTGTTAAATCTATTGCTAGAATCTGATCCTTGACCTACATTATGGTTCCTGTTTAAAAATTGATTTGGAGTTATATTTTATGTTTCCTTTTTACTACCAAGAAAATAGCATTTATTTTTCCCAACCTTTCTCCAATGGCCACTGCCATGTGCCATGTTTTAACAGCTTTTTTTCCCTATCTGATATTATAGGAATCTATTCATTATGTCATGGATGAGTCCCTCTCCCCCAAATAGTTAAAATGTGAACTTTAGCCCATTAGTCAGGGAAAGGGAAATGAGACTGTCAGATGAGTACCCACTCAGGTTGAAGTATTTCTTCAGGAGACCCAGCTGAGCTAACCTGATTTTCTCAGTTTGAAATACAACTTAAGAGGAAAGCCAAGTCCACTTTCGGTTCTAGGGAAAATGTACTAGAGTTCTACAGTGGTTCCAATTCTCTTTTATTTACTTTATTTTTTATTAGCTGAGCCATCCTGCCACCACCTGTTGGCAGCTCAGCAGCTCAGCTCAGGCCGGGACTCAAACCATTGTTGGTCAGAGCTCAAACTCTTGAGTGAGCTCTTAACCAACTGAGCCACTCGGCGGGCCAATTCTCTTTTGAGTGGCAGTGTGATCAGGTTTTTGGTTTTTCCTTGGACAACAATCTCAGGAAGCCTGGTATGTCTTAGGACTGCAGTTCTGGCCACCATTGGCCCTGGAAGCAGCTATTACGTAGTGCAGAGACAAGGGACTTAAAAAGAGAAGACAGGGTGAGTCAAGGCAGCTTCGGTGTGCCAGCTAGCCTCTGTGCTCTCAAGTTTCCTCACAAAGTAGGAATAGATGATTAAATTTTTGTCAGGAAAATTAAATTTGTAATTAAATTTGTAAGGAGACAAATTTTCAAGCTGCAGAACACAATACAGATATTAAGGTAGTATTGTCGTCTATTCCCAGAGCCTAAGTCACAGCCTGGCATGTAAGACGCTCCTGATTGTAAATGACTTGATTAGTCTGGAACAAGGCTGGCTCTGAAAGGCACTTTTAAGTCCTGGTTCATTTCATAGCCTTTCTAGTTCCCTCCTGTGGTCCATGCTGGCCTGATGTGTTAGACGGACTGTAGTTTAAGGTTGGTCCTGGATCAGACCATGCTCTTTGGGAGTAAATTTAAAGGCTTTGGAATCATTCTGGCCTTGGAGGTGAGGAAGGGCTGTGTAGGGTAGGTATCTTCATAATCAGCCTACTACTGCACTGTGTGATTTGTATTTTCCAACAGCTACTTTTGTTCTAGATGACACAACCACCTTCTGAAGGCACCAAAGCCTAGACAGGGACAGATGCCAGAAATATACACTGTATAGTTCTCTGAAAAACCCCTGTACGTATCTTTCCTTGTTACTAACCTTTTTTTTTTTGTTTGTTTGGTTGGTATAATAGACTTCAATTTTTAGAGCAGTTTTAGATTCACAGCAAAATTGAGCAGAAAGTACAGAATTGAGCAGAATTTCCCATACAGTCCATCCATATTCGATATTCAGCACCAGAGTGGTTCATGTGTTACAACTGATGAACCTACACTGACACATCGTAATTACCTAGAGTCCATAGCTCACCTCAGAGTTCACTCTTGGTTGGTACATTCCATGTGTGTGGACAAATGTATAATGACATGTATCTACCACTATAGTATTAGAGTATTTTCACTGTCCTAAACAATCCTCTGTGCTCCGCCTATTCATTCATCCATACCCCCAACCTCTGACCACCACTGTCTCCATGGTTTTGCCCTTTCCAGAATGTTAAATAGTTGAACCTCCTTCGCTTTTCTAGTGGCACTATGTAATACTTTGTTATATTTCTACCTGCTAACATAATTGGTGAAAGTCAATTTGCTGGAAACAATCCTGTGCTCTTCACAGTGAGCAAATCTGATGAAGAATTAAGAAAAAGGAATAAAACCAATCTGTTTGAGACCCTTAAGAGAAAGGACATTAGAGAAATTAGAGGATTTATTTGAAACATAAATGTTTCAAATTATTTTTGAATTTATTTTGAATTTCTGCCTTTAGCTTAACATGTAGGTGGAAACAAGTCATACTCAAGTACATTTAAGAACCTAGGAAAAGCTATGACTTGTGCTTCATTCTCTCGTGATACCAATCCAGCAAATCAGAAATAATCTTTAGGTGATAATTTGAATTTGGGCATTAACCAGGAAAGAGTCAGAGAAGAGCTTGATCACCTTTTTTTTTTTTCCTGAATTGGTCTATATGGGTTTGGTTTAATGTTACAATATTTATTTGGTTTATTTTTTACTCACTTCCCCTTCAAAATGTCTTTCTGGAATATTAATATTACAAGTCAGTGTTGAGTCTTTTGTCACTGCCAATGTATACCAAAAGCTCCCTGTTTCCCATCACCCCAAAATAACTTCATATCTTAGTTAATACTTTATTGACAAACACCTGTGGCTTTCTTCCAGGGGCTTTTTTAGTTTAACATTTTCCTCTTGAGTTTTGTGCTTCTCATCCTGCCAAAAGAAAGAAAACAGCCCAATTTATTAATTATTCAGAATGGTAAACAATGACGACATTGCAGACTTTTTTCCCCCCTGTATTGTGTAGCTTGGGTATAAAGCAAAGCAGCTTTTTTATTAGGGAAGAAATTTAACTTTCAAGATATTTGTCCTTATTCTTTGCTCCAAGCAGTTTCTAAACAAATTATTCTGATAGAGTTTGTAACAAATGGCTTTCACAGTAAACATCTTCTTTAATTCTTGAGATTCAAATGAAATTCAGAATGTATCCTATTTACTTGCAAAGTGAACTAAGGTATCAGTTACTTCTTAGAAGAAAAATAAACACACACACACACACACACACACACACACACACACACACACACACACACGTGTGTGTGTATGTGTATGTGTATTCTACCTGCTGCTCTCTGCCCTGCCAGCTGAGCTCTGGAAAACTGGTCAAACCAAGCATGGCCATATCCAGCAGACAGTGTAATCCCCTGGGCACTCAGTCAAGTAGATGCCTCAATGTCACGACAACTTCTACAGCCTGTACAACTCAAGGAGTTTTCTACTCTGAAAGACCAATATAAAGGCCCAAACTGCATTTCTACCAATGCTCTTAAGCCCTGTCTGGGCAGCTTCTAGGGACAAATTCTTTGTGTGGCACACACACACTGCTGCCTGCTTCGAACTGCTGGCTATCAGCCTCCAAAAGGAGAATGCATGTTCTCAGACTACTCAAGTATCAAGGAAGAGAGGGCAATGCAATATTTACCCTGCTGGAAACCTACTGCAGGGAAATTCAAGATGGAGAAACGTAAGGCTTCAACGGAAAAGCAAGATAAGATAGGCCAAGATTTTAGTAAATCTCTATAAGCCTTTATATGTATATTTTATGGTTGCTGAACTAAAATAATAAAGACAGCATGCTATATAGAGAAGTGTTACTTTGCACACTACATTGGTAGTAATGAGTACTACATAATAAACTTCCTTTTATCATTCCTTTTTACTCTCCAGTAAATTAGCAGCTCATTCTCTAGAAATTTTAAATAAGCTTAAATTTAACTTGCTTTGTTATATATAAATATACAAAGAAGGTAATTTTTTCCTTGTGTTTGTCTTTGACAGAAAAAGTATTTCATGCTTTTCTGATTTTATTATTGGAAAAGATGGGGGCTTCTGTTTTCTAGGTTGAGAGGATCTTATCCAACTTTAGTTCCCTCCCTGCCAGTCTACATTAGTTTCCCTTCCCCAAGCCTAGTTCCCTCTTTTAATGATTTTCCCAAGAGAAGTACCTTGAGAGTGCTCAAACAAAATCCTCATGATTTTGAAAAAAGCGTACAGAAGCAAATTCACATTTACGACAATTCTTTTGGCCGAGAGTTCAGGGTTGGAGTGGAATTACTATAGCACATTATTAAAAATGTTAGCCAGCAGAAGTCCAAGAGACACATATTTTTGTTAAGAAACCAAAATCATCTTAAAAAATTAAAAGGGATAAGGCCACTGGAAATTGTGGTTAGTATTCCCCTTTTCCAAAGGACATCAAGTTAGAGGCAGCAACCTAGTGGTACACTAAGAATCAGGCTTTCATGCTCACTCCAGCTCTAGCCTGCTAGCCACACACTCCAGGCCGTAGCAATGGCCTGTGCTCCATGAGAGGAAACTGTCCAGCTCAGCAAGGTAGTTAAGTAAATGAACACGGGAATAACAATTATTACCCTTTGCGGTTCTGGCTTCTGGGAACCCTTTCCGGGGATGCTCCTGTTGTTTTGTAATCTTCTTTCTCTTTCCTGTTTTAGTTCTAACTCAAGCTGGTTCCTGGGATAGGTGGGAGATGAAAAGGATAAACATTTGCATTGTGTACTCATATTCTCTAAAAAGTATCAAGCCCTTAAAGTTCAATAATTAAATTTTAATACTTGATTAATAAAAAATTTATACACACACACACACAACCAGGTTTTAAAGTACTAAAATACAACATAATAAAACCAGTGACACTAAAATACATACAACATGTTTAAAATACACACAACATCTTAAAATCTTTCTTAGGTTAAGCATGTACTTTAGGATCCTCCAGTCTCTGAAGGTCATCATTCTGAATATCAATATGTAATAATAACTTAATGATACAGTCAATAATATTGTAGTACCTATGTGTGGTGTCAGATGGGTACTAGACTTATCAGGGTGATTACTTCGTAAGTTATTTAAATGTCTAATCATTGTGTTATACACCTAAAACTAACATAATATTGTATGTCAACTGTAATTGAAAAACTGAAAAATTATTAAAAAAAGTAAAAATAAAATATTAACTCTTAATGAAGAGTTGTGGACAACTGAATGACATGTAGTGGGATTTACTATAACTGAAAGACAGTATTTACATATTTTTAGCAAGATACAGTACGAAAGCACTGACACTGTAGTCTCATTTCATGTTAATTAGCTGGTCTCTCTCTCTATAGTTATGTATTCAATCCCCAGTTACACCCTCGCCCACTCCACTAGGGTCCTTAGTAGCTATGTGCTTTTATATCCAACAACAAAGTCCTATTTGTTTGTCAGTGGCTTTAGCACAGAATCAAGGCTCATTTGAGAGACAATACAGAAAAGGGGTTAAGGGCTTGAAGTCAGTGAGAGGTTTTTAAATTAGTGTTGCTACTTATTAGCTTAGTTGTGTGAATTTGGATAGATTTAATCCCTCTCAGTTTTAACTTCATCTGAAAATGGGAGTGATAAGATCACCTGCTAATAGGATTGTTGCGAAGATGTTAAGAGAATGCATGTGAAGTGCTTAGTCAAGTATTTGGTACACATTAAGAAGGAAATACTATTATTAGTGTTATAATGGCTCTTAATTCTCTTACTCCTTCCTATTCATCTGGGGCCTTGGGTTCTAACTTCATAATTTTTAGATTGCAAAGAATGCTGACAAGATTTTGGGAATGGGAATGTATATGAAAATTTCTGAATTCTAATTCTAGAGAAAGGACACTGGACAGACAGATGGCTGGATCATGGGACCCCCTCCTCTCGCTGTTTAGCCTTAGAACTCCCCATAACCCCCTGGTTGGCCTCCCGCTCTTCACCGCTGCCTGGTGAGTGCCTCCATTTCCAGCTGCAGAGTGTTGATCTTGTCTCCAAAGTCCTGCTTGAAGAGCCGGTTGTCCAACTCAGCAGACTGGCGGCCTCGCTCAGCCTGGCGCAATCTGGATGTGAGCCACATGAACTTGTGATAAAAAACAAAAGCCATGGTGGGGAGGAAGACCAAGTCTACAACACAAAATAAAACAACCCAACGAAGAAGGCATGGAGAGACAGAGAGAGGAAAAAAACCTTTTCAGGACAAAGGGAAGAAATTAAGGAAGATGGAGAAGAAACAAAGTCTAAAGAAAAGCAAGATGAAGGTGAACCAGGCAGAGGAAAAGTGATTTTCCATTTTTTTTTATTCTAGTACTACAGTTTACAGCCATTAGATGATAAACAACAAAACATCACTTTTTAGAAAATCCATATCCAAAGCCAATCTCAAGCACACAGTAATTAAAGTTAAATCCACTTTTTTTTGTTTGTTTTTATTTCCTAATTGGTTTGGTACTTTATATTTCTGTTTTATACACATAACTGGAACTTGCAAGTGGGCGACTACCTTCTTATATGTGGAATTAGAACATTTTCTTGGTCCTTCCCCTAAACCACAAATTGTATTAAATCACTGGACATTATATATTAACCCTTACCCAGGCTTCAGGTTATTGTATAAGGAGAAGCTTTGTCAGAGTTTGGCCATCTGTTTCCTTTCTGTTCCTACCAAGTGGTGTGTGACTCAGTGGGCAAACAATTCAGCACCAGGCCTGCGAAAGATTCCTGACCATATTTTCTGGAAGATTCTAATGACTGTCTTCTTCCATATATCCTGCAACTTTGCACCTATAAAGAAGCATGTCCTAACAGGTGAAACATCTGGGGCTCTATGTAACAGAATTTCGAAGCATGCTATGTGTAGTTTTTAAAATGTTTTATTTTGCTGTTTGAGCACCCCTTCTAAATGCTCATAGAAAGGCAACTCCTCTCAAAAGGTTGATGAAGATAAGAACAGGTGCAAAATTATAAGAAGTAAAATAAGTTGAGAGCATAGGATCTTCCATGAGGTTGGTCATGTGCTCTTTGACTTGACTTTGTTTCAAGTCTGCAAAGACCTATAGAAGCATATATGCTTTTAGTTCTTGTTTTTCCAAGAAGGTAAAGGGTTTCAGGAGCTGGAAGCAAAGGGATTATCTTTGTTCCCATCTAAACAGCTGAAATGCTGTAAATCATATCAGAATGAGAAAAAAGAGAAAAAAAATTTGCCACAACCTTTTGAAGGAACGAAGGCTTATGTAAAACCTATACCTCCAAATCAAAAGTCATTAAAAAAACATCCAAGTCATATACGATTATTTACAATGTAAAGCCTAGAAAGGGTTAGATCTGTGGTCACTTAGAGAAAAACGCCCTGATAATTATTGTTTGCAGATATCTATGGGGAATCTTTATTTTTAGGCTAAATAATAATAAAGAATATAAGTTTATCATTTATCTATTTCCTACTCTGAAATGGTTTTCTAATAATTAGATTGTTAGCTTCCTAGAAATTTTCGCAAACCCCCATCTAAACAAAAAGTAACAGAAACTCTTAAGAAAATGTTTCTAGCAAGGAATGACAGGCAGGAAACAATCACTCATGTCTATACCTGGTCATCTGTATTTCAAAAGGAAAAGCAGGATAAATTTTTAAATGTGTACTCTATATTTTTTATAGGAGAGGACTATTTTCATTAAAATTGTTCTCTCCGAACTACCTAAATAGGAAGTGGAATTGCAGGAAAATGGCAGAGGTAGAAGATGACAAACATTAGGAGGGTTTTCCCAAGCTTCCACATTACTATGTTATTATAAGTTACCTACACTAACTATCTCTATGTACTTTAAAGAAATGTAAGGATGCTGTTTTCCCACCCCCAAAGTCACTAAGGCAAAAAAGTTGCAAGCAGTCTTGGTTATTGAGAACAGAACTGTAGTGAAATACTAAGTATTATCCTGACTTGGGGATTAAACCTATATAAGAAAAGTGAAAAAGGGTCATGGACTAAGAGACACAGAACTACTTTAGAAGAGTCCACGTCCATATGGTAGTCACCTCTAGTTCATCACATCGCTATGGCAGAACAGGCTTGCTGATATAGACAATGCACCTAGAATCTGTTATTGTCAGGGACTGGGTTGTAAAGGCATCAATAACATATGTACAAAGCTTCAATTCCCTAGGCTTTTTAAAAATGGAGTATTTATTTATTGGTCAACTCAGAAGTAATTTTGTGAAGTTTATTTGGCATTTAATTAAGAACTTATACTAAATTTTCTAACTCTGGGGACAAAATAAAAAAGAAGAAAAAACACATCCTACATATTAAACTGCTTTTCTTTTTTTAAAGTCCAACAAATTCAAAGTCAATTTTTGGTGACAGTTTATATAAATCAGAGCCTAAATGTAATAACTTTCAGATTTCTAACTTTTACAATTAAGTTGTGGTATCAAACTTGTGAGGTGACCAATTGCAAAATGCCTAATGATGTTTTGGGATCAATTTATTTGCTGCACTATTTAAGGTCTTTGCCTGTTTCACCAAATCTTTTTCACTAAATTAATAAAATAAAAATAAAAATGGAGTGAAAGGGGAATGAGAAAATGGATAAACAGGAAAGAGAAAAATAGCAAGACAATAAGTCAGCTTAATACTTGAAGAGATGAAGTCATTATAGTTCTGTCTGCATTAAATACCAACTCAAAAATGCACTGAAAAATAATTTAATATAACATTTTAAAAACACAAGTTATGAATCCTAAAACTGATTTGTTGAATCATAAACACATATCTGCTTATAAGCAAGCGCTAAGATTAACTTCCTGGATAGACCAATAGCTTTTTATTTAAAATCAGCCAAACGAGAAGTTTCAAACTTATTTATTAATTTGCAAATAACTGTTGAGTTAACATTAATTTAACAGGGCCCTCCTAAATAAGTTGCCATTCATCCATTCATTCATGCATCTACTAAATGAATGCTTTGTACATTGAAGGCACGGTGAGCTAACCGCAAGGAGCTCACACTCTCATCAGAAGGTAAGATACATACTCGTATATCAAGGGCTAAGGGAAGGCAGAAAGTGAGAGGTGCTATAAGCAGTATGGATGGGTACGGATATGAGGCCATAGGAATTCCAACAAGGGCAGACTGGCAGATTATTTTTAGCTGGGAAGAAGTAGTAGAGGAAGTTTGGGTAGGTGGCATTTGAGCTTGAATGTAAAAAATGTACCTTTAGAACAAGGGAGTGGGAAAAAGAAGAGCATTTCTAATTGGTGGAACTATTAGGAAAGACATGGAAGGGAAAAATGGGAAGCGTGTCCAGGGACCAGGAAGTACTTTAGTTTTCCTCAAGGGCAAAAAGGGTGCTCAGTGGGTGTTAAAGGTGGCAACACTGGCAAGCAACACTGAATAACTGTGGGTGCTGTGGCTCATTAGAGCTTTAAGTCTCAGCCATTTCTCTTGGCAGCTAAGTTACTAGGAAGAAATGGTGGTTTCAGACCAAAAGGGATTCATAAGAGTAGCATAGGGAGAGGATGTACTTTGTGAACTGTAGGTTCTGGTGGGAAGTAGCTGGTGAGAGGATGAAAACACAGGACTGGTCTCCAGACGGACAGAGTTGGAGACAGACAAATTTAAGAGTTGTGGGCGGGAGGTGACAGTGGAAGCTATAGAACTGTTAAAGACAAAGTAGAGAGTAAAGGAAAATGGGAGAGAGGAGAAAAAGGGGTTAGTTATTAGAAGGGCCCTCAATACCCCTACATCACCTCACACTTTAGTGATTAATAATAAAATCACAGCATCACAAACATATTTAAAAGTTCTTTCAGGGCTGGCCGAGTGGCTCAGTTGATTAAGAGCTCGCTCAAGAGTGCGAGCTCTGAGCCAACAGCAGTTCAAGTCCCGAACTGAGCTGCCAACAGGTGGCAGGATGGCTCAGCTAAAAAAAAAAAAAAAAGTTCTTTCACACTTGTTAAGTGCCCCTCCCCTAACACATGCCACTGAAATGGGATTAAGAGAGAGGGTTAGAGTTGTGCTGTTCAAAACAGTTACAAAAAGCTGCTGTTTCTTAAAAACGTTTTCAGTAACATCTTAGAAGACTTTTACCGGCTTTCTCCCTTCCCACGTGCCTGAGGTTAGGCTGGAAGAGTTTCAGGTATTCTATTTGCCAAAAGCATACATTCTCTTCACATCCAGCATTGAAGTACCAAAGTGTTTCACTAAAGAAACAGCACTTTACCTTTGTTCAAGTTGTTTAATGGTAGCAGCCATCTGATTAGTCTTCTCTTCCAAGCGACTGTTTAGTTCACTTTTCTGTTTTATTCCTAAGTCTGAACTCTGGTATGAAAAAAAAATTATGGATGATGTATATATAACATAAAATCCCGAAATAAATGACACATGCCTTTTGAACCTAATGGTAAGTGGGAAATAGAACAATAGAAATGCTCTTATATTTGTATATTAGGTAATTCTCAGGTGGAGAAAAAACAAAAAGGAATGTTTAAAGTTAGTATTGTTACAAGCAGCTTTGTCACAAAAATCAACATCAGGGAAAGTTCATCCATTTATCATATTACAGTATAAAAGCTAATGGGAGATACAGCTCAGTTGGCACGTTAGGCTGGAGAGCAGAAATGAACTTATAGGATAAAAGAGACCCCCTTACCCCATTATAATCTAAAAAATGGCCACGGCTTTCCAGAATAGCAACACAAGATCCTGTGACGGTCTGATTCCTAAAGTGGCTTATTGGTGGAGAGCCTCCTAATGAGATACGATTCTCTAGGGCCTCTTGTATTTAGAGTGTGACTTAGAAGAAAGAGGGGCAGAGGGAAGCCCTGGGGTTTAGCACCACGAGCCTCTTCCTCCTTTCTCCTCACCTGCAGCTTAAAGGCAAGCTCATGCTTGAGAGCCCTGAGGTCGTCCAGCTGCTGCCGCAGACACACCAGGGCGTCCTGCTTCTCACAGACATCCTTCTCCAGCATCTTCATAGCCATCTCCATCTCCTGTCTCATGCTGATCTGGAGCTCCAGCTCTTTTTCAACATCCTGCCCGCAAAGGTAAATAAACTGCTTACTCTCTCTTTCCTCATCTAAGCGCCATCTATAAAATTCCACAGGAAAAGGTCGACCAAACTCTCAGGTCTGGATATTCTGGCAAAATAGCTATAATCTATTATTCAATACAGAAGAATTAACAACAAGAACAATATTAGAATAATTACAACAACATTTACTCAATAATTTAAAAATCTGAAAAGCTTGGTAGGCCAAAGATAGTGCTATTTAATATGTCTAAAATATGCACATACCTAAGGCACTTCATTACATATTATGACAGACAGTTGATGTCATGTCCTATTATAGAAATATATATAAAGTGTTACAGTAGCCAATACAAAACGAAGCAGTTGCAATTCTTTTCAATATGAATGTTGTTGATATATTCAAGAGCCCAAGGAACCTGAAAGATACTTGGGTCTCCAGGGTAACATCTCAATTACTGGGAATGGTCAATATGGCTAACGGAATTTTTATGTCCACATCACATGAAACCCCTTTTTGTTTCAACTATTATTACTGCGACATTATTTGGATGATGAAAAATACAAAGACCTGAGGCTCTGCTGCATTCAGGCTATGTCCAGGGCACACCTACTTTCTTGGTTTCTTTCCTTTTTAAATAAACCTTTATCTTATTGTGTTGCAAAGATGTGGGAAATTCTGTGTAAGATTTTTGTCACGTGCCACTTAACTGAGGCACTCCTCTGAAATATAGTTAGCATGACAGAAAATCAGTCAGAATGCTTCTTAATACTCCTAACATATATTATTTGTAGGACCTTCCTAATAGAAAGTATTTGGAGATGTAATTCACAAACACAGGAGGAAAATGATAATTATTTCAAGGATGTTACAATAATATTGTTTTCTCAGAAAACCTGAAATTCAGTTGTATACACTATTAATTTGTGATAATTTTTAATACTAATCAGGTCACCCCTTATTTTCAAGCTTCTCCCTATTCTTAGAGACACTATTGGGAGGATCCTATCTAAATTGCAGGAAGAGTTAATACACTAATACCAGGGGTATATTAATATACTAATACTTGGATAAAATCTATTATAGGAATATTATTCCTTATTATACATTCTTACATATATGTATTTTTTTTAATTAAAAAATATCTTAAGACTAATACTAATGATATATTTCTCTATGTATAAGAACAAGAATAAATTTGGAAATAACAGCTAAAGGTAAAAGGTACAATTCTACATTAATGATTCTTAGTAAGGAGAAGAGGAGCCGCCACCTCCAAGGAGACATATCGAAATCTGTGCAGGAGTGAGGACTGAGGTGGGACGGAGGATCGCAGGGTTCAAAAGTAGTTTCCATATATCTAATGCTTTTATAATACAAACTATAAAATCTCAAAAATAAAGATTTGACTCTGGGTGGTGACAGCAATATAGAGATGATGTGTTATAGAACTGTACACTTGAAACCTATATAATTTTATTAACCAATGTCACCCCAATAAATTTAATAAAATTTTAAAAAGATCCTATTGGTTGTTGAGAATACTCAGAAAATGGACTAAGAAAGCATTATAGGGAACATGGGGTTAATAAGAGTGAGAAACGGTTTTATAGGGTTCATAAAAACTTGTCGGACCACTACTGATATTCCTGATCTTGGTCTGTAAGATAAAACCTCTAAGTAGACTATTATGAGTTCCTGCACTATCAGGCAGTAAGCAAAGTTTACCAGTCGTAATTGTGTCTCCTCCTTTAAATGCTTTCTTGCTTCACTTAGTGCTTGCCCTTCTGAAGTTCTGTCTTGCTTAGGACCCTTGAAAAGATAAATAAAATAGTACATACTTAAATAGTAAAAGAACCTATACAGTTAGCTGACACCAGCACTGCTATTTATTAAGGAAAAATGATCATACCTAAGCAGGCATAACAGTGAATGAACACAACAAAGAAATTAAAGAGGTTTAGTAAATTAAAAATTCTTAAGCTGAAGTTTTGGAGATTTCTTGCCATTTTGTTTAAAGTCCTAAGATAGTTTACCAAACCAAGTGGTAAAACTCTTAAAAAATCAGTCTCTAAAAACAAAATAGCATCCACTGTCAACTATGATTTGGGTCAAAGACTCGAATGGTGATGTATTCCTTCTCCAGAGATCTTCCATCTGGGGCCTCCAACTATCCACAGAGATCACAGCTAAAAATAAGGTCATCAGAAAATTCTTCTGAGTGGTCACAGTTCTTTTTACAAAGTCCATGCATTAAAGTCAAACGTGTCACTCATAGAAAACTATTAGTCTCCACTCACAGCCTAGTTGCTTAGTCTTCAGGGACAATTTTTATAACTGGCTATCTGGATTCTTAAGTCACAGTAGGTTAGAGGCATGAGGATAAAAGGGAATGGGGAGACCTTTCTAGAGATAGCAATACTAACAGCAGTAAGAGTAAGAGATGCCAGTGAAATCATAAAGGGGGAAAAACCCACAAAAACAAAACAAAACATACACACACACCAAAAACCCAAACCCACAGCCATCTCGGAATATTTAAGTATAGATGCTAGAAGTTCTATCAATTTCAATAGCCCTCTAAAGTAGCACCATTATAATTCAGTACAGAATTGCCAATGTTGATAATTATGATCTTCAGTCATCATAAAGGGCTAAAGGTGTTAAATTATATCCTCTACTTAAGAAGGCTTAGAATTGTGCAATACATAAAATGTTTGTAAAATATCTGTTTAGTCATATATAGAAAGTTTGGTACTTTAAGGGACTCTAAGGGATTAAGTTATCTAGAAAATTCATTCATATAGTAACTGTTTTCCAGTGGTTAGCAGATAAATAAGTCTTACAAAACAGTAACATGATCTAAAATCATGGTATATTTAATATAACATATATAACACTTAAATACAGTACAAACCATTAGTACATAAAAACAAGAAACTGAAGTAGACCTTTTCTTGAAGTCTCTAAACAGATGTAGACTGTGCTGAAGCGAAGAAGCATCTGTAGAAGGGGCGCCACCCTCCCATAACCTTCACTGTTCATTCTCAGTTTTGCATGGGGTGTGTCTAAGTAAAAACAGTCTGTTTGACACATGCGAACACTTGCTGCTTCCATATAGTCCTCTGGAGGTTCCCTTCACTGCTACACACTGACATGCTCTCTAGGAGTATTTTAGAAATCCAGTAAAATTAACCTTTCGATTGGATTCCAACATGTAGGAGCTTTCTTCTTTAACTCGTTCCATTTCTTCTTGCAAGGTAATAATCCTGTTGTTTGCGACTGCAAGCTGTTGATAAAATTAGAAAAATAATCTTTGATCTTTCTTTTACTAACACAGGATAAGATAATTAATGATCTGCTAGGACATGATTTTCAGGGTTAGATATTCTTAAAAGGAAAGAAAGCTATCTATTAGTTATCGGAAAAGTCATTACACATTTTTGCAACAGAAAACATAGAAAATATACGTCATGACTTTTCCTACAACCCAATATAACCTCCTAAAATGTCCTTATAGGGAACTTAGGAGGAATATTTTGAAAGGTTAGATAAAAATAAAAAATTATCTCCTTTTGCTGCTTTTTGTGTAAGCTTTTTTTCAGTACCAAAATGTTAAGATCTTTTACCTCGAGGGTATCTTCATGGATAACTTTTATAATTATATTTAGTTATGATACCTATTTCTAAAATGTTTAAGAGGTCACCTCATGCCTTGGGACCCATCTTATGAACTCTCTATAAGACATTTTATAGATGATTTTTTTTTTTTTTTTAGCTGAGCCATCCTGCCACCTCTTGGTAGCTCAGCAGCTGCTCAGCTTGGGCCGGGACTCGAACCGCTGTTGCTCAGAGCTCAAACTCTTGAGCGAGCTCTTAACCAACTGAGCCACTTGGCCGGCCCTTATAGATGATTTTTAAAAGTAAAGAAATGAATTCCTCTGAGTTCTCACTCTAAAAGGTGCGATTAAGCACTGAAGAGAGTTTTCACTTCAGCACCTAAAAAGATAAGAGACGTTATTAGCAGAATACTGCTAAGGAAAAATGCCTATCTACCCATTTCACAGGAGGGAAAAGTAAAGTGGAAACACTTTACCTTTGTACCTACTGACCTCTGTACCTACTGACCTCTATCCCCCACAAAGAACACAAAGGTGCCTGAAAGAGTCTGGGAACTGAGTGGGCTCCTCTCAGCTGGGCTAGGATTCCTTTTAATTATCTCCACACTCTCATTGGTTGTGCTTGGTTCCTGTTCTAATGTGGATCTGGGGCTCAATCATGCTTCCTGGAGGCAGTCTGGAAACCCATTTTTCTCTCTGCTCCATGGACCTACTAATGTGTAAAGAAGTAACTCTGGGCAAGTGGGTCAGCTCTCTTGATCCCGAGTGCACCCGCAGACAGCTTCCAAGATTTCAACATCAGGGAAGTGTTAGGAAACAATGACTGTAGATTCAAGTAGGCTTTCTAAATCAGCTTTACCAAAAATAAAGTGGATATTTATATATCTTCATCTGCTTAATTCTTCTTTTATATTGTTTCAGAACTCAGGAGGACAAAAGGTCTATTTTGTTTTCTTTTTAAACTGGTCCTCTTAAATCCAAAATAGATGGAAATGAGAAAACGCAGATCTCATTTGCCTTATCTGCTCTTCATAAAGCCTACATACAATGCTTACTTATCTCTAAAAGTTCAAAGTTTCAAGAAAATAGGTCTTACTGGTAAAATAAATAAGTCAATGAATGAATAAATAGCATTAGTGACATAAATCTAGGTCAGAAGGACAAGACTTGTGATTTATTAATGAACAACTATATTTATTGAGTGCTTGCGATGTGTCAGGCACTGGTCTAAGCCTTTATGTATTAAATCATTTAATTTGCATAAAAATCTTATTGTTTTATCATCCTCATTTTACAGAATATAAACCAAGGAAGAGAGGCTTAAGCAATTGGCCCAGGGTTAGAAAGCTAGCAAGAAAGCCAGACCTAGGACATGAACTTAAGTAGTCTAGTTCTAGAGAACTATGCCACATTGCCTCAATATAACAGCAGCGGAATCACAGTACATATTCTGTGCAGACTATTTTGAAAGTCTATGGGATCAAAGTCTAAGGGTCATATCCATAAAGTTTTAATATAATTTAAGAATCTACATCCAAAAATTAAGTCCACAGACCTGAGTAATAAGGAAAGAGTTTTAAAGATATAAAAATGAAAATGTTGGGCCCGCTGAGTGGCGCGTTGGTTAAGAGCTGGCTTGGGACACCAGAGGTCCCCGGTTCAGGTCCCACATATGAGGGCCAGTGACACTGCCCTCTACAGCTAAGATGCTGAACAACAGCTCAACCTGGAGCTGGGCTGCCGTGAGTCACTGGCGATGGCGTAGGCTGCAGCCCCTGCTGCAGTGGGCTGCCATGGGCTACCATGTGTAGCCAGCAGCCAGCGTGAGTGGCCAGCAGCTACTGTGAGCGGCCGTCCAGAAGCCGGCGACTGATCTGCCTCACCCGGGGAAGAGCGCAATGATGGTGCCAACTTGGGCCAGTGAAGCAACGTCCTCCACAACTAGACTGAAGAACAAAAGGACAGCAACTTGTCTGTTCCCCTTCCCCCAATTCCCCAGCGCTGTTCCCATCCCCCAATTCCCCAATAAAAATCTTAAAAAAAAAATTAATTAAAAAAAAATGTTTATTCTAAAGAAATGATTAAATAACGTTGCCTGCCTCATGCTTTTACTTGGTTTTATTTAAACCAAAATTTTCCCAACATATGTAACAAAATAGTTAGAAATAAAGATGATAAAGTCTTGGCCACTTGGAAAATTTTATTCAAGGTTTTTCATAGAAACATCTAATGCCATTGAAGAAAAAATATAAGTACCTTAGTCTTTAATAGGTTAGTAAAAATATATTAATCAGAAGTGAAACATGAAGTTATTTTTCTCTTCTTATTTTAGGGACTTTTCTAAGAGTTGTCACATAAATATTCTTATCTAATCTTCAGAGTAATTGTGAGGCTGAAAAGAGGAAGTATAAACACCCTCATTTGCTAGTGAGGGAACTGGGCCTTTGGAGGTCAAGTGATTTACTTGCTCAGCAGCACATGATATGTAAGCTGGCATGTCATGTAAGCAGGGATTACCGGTCTTCCGACCAGAGTTCTTTATCTTATCTACCCACCACCCTAAGAAGAACATAAGGCCCCTGAAGGTGAGGAGCTTGCCAATCTGGCACACATAAATCAATTCCTGGCATATATAAATCTTTGTCTAGCTCTAGTATATAAGTAGTACCTAAAATGTTTGTTGAGTGAGTAAGTGATGATTATCATGCTACATGCTAGAAATTAACTCTAGGCTAGCCCAGATAAAACATTCATCCAAGAGAAAGCAAGATATTTGATCAGCCTGGGTTCTATGCCTGTACAGTCCATCTGGATAAACCCTGAGATAAGACAGCTAGCCATTCTTAGTCACAACAAGGAGTTATACACCCTATAGTAAAATTATCTGAAAAGTCAAGTCCTTTACTTCCAAGCTTCCAGCGAAATTATTTTCCACTAATACCCATTGCTAAATTCTTTAAGTAAATCAAAGAATTTCCAGGACACTTACTTCCTCTGTCAGTTTAGTGTTGGATTTTTCTAATGCATCCACTTTTGCCTGAAGGTTGTTTACAGTAGCACTATCAAGAGAAGAAAAAACATAATGGTCTCTTTTGAGAAACAGAACAATATCCTGTACTTTCCTTTTAAACACCCATCACACTTACCATTCACTGTAACATCCACACTTTTTGATAGACTTGCAAGCTCTAAGACAACTTACAAGATGCCGTGTGTCTTAACCATACATCACTGGCACTGAAGTATGTATTTCATAAGCATTTGTTGAATGAAATAAAAGAGCAAATACACAGTAAACTTTAAGGTTTATCTATATAATAATGATAGACTACATGAATTAAGTGCTTGCCATACACAAAGCACCCTTCTAAATGATTTTACTTGGCATTATTTCATTTACTCCTTTCAACAACTTATGCATTAAGGCTCATTTACAGATAAAGAATCTGAGGGGCATTTGAGATCTTGTACCCTGAAATATTTTGTCAGTTTGGCTCAA